AGGAAGTGAATAGGCTCCAGGCCTCAAAAAATAGTCCACTGCTCGAATACGATAAAACCCAGCTACCAAGTCATCTGTCAGAACTTTAACATCAGGTACATAATTAAAGGCAGTGATGATGGAAGTGTTATTGTTGATTTTTGTATAAGGACCACTCTGTGACTTACTGGAGAATTCCACATCATAATATAGAATGCACTTGGTGTTTACGCAGTGATCTGACCAAGTTGTCAGAACTTGGCCCACAGTGATGTTGTGGACCACAACACTGGTCACTTGGTCTGGGGGAAGTTTGGATTTAGCACAAGCATGGATAAGGATTACTCCTGGTTGTATTAGTTGTGAATATTTGTGTCTGTATATATGGCCATCTTTCTTCTTATGGAAATATTTAACAGGTGAAGACATCAATCCTTCCTGAGAACGCATTTCCCTGAACTGCTGAACAGAGGGAAAAGATGGCTTGCCCTGTGTTTCCCACACAGCATAAGGGTTTGTAACTGTGTTGTCAATGTAATACTCCACTATTCCAAAGTCACCAGGTCCATCCAAATTCAAACTCACAGTTATTGAATCTGTCCTTTTGAGGGATGAGGTGTCATTGCTGCTGTATATAAGCACAGCTAGCTGCCAAGCATCAGAAGTTGGAATACCTTTGTAAGGCACATGAACACTTGCTAGTGCACCAACATTACTGTCATTCAAAACAACAGTGTTACCAAACTCTCCTGAAGCAGTTAAGTTTACATGTACCTGTTTGTCTCCCAAAAGTGACAATGCTGCCATTACAGTGTAAATTGGTTTTAAAACTAACTGGACAAAAGGAGTTGCTGTATTGTTCATTTGGAATCTTGCAGCCAGGGTTCTTTGTGTAAATTGATGAGGAACATAGCTCAGAAAGGCATTATCATTACTTAGAAGTGAGTAATTCATGAATGCAGGTAGTTTAGCCAAGATCATGTTCTGATGTTGGGCTATAACTTTAGCAACCATAGCAGCATAAGTGGAGTCTGCCCGCCATGCTAGGTCTTTATTCCAACCCACCATTGGATCTGCCTCATCATTAAAGAAAGGAACCATGGTGAGAAAAGGGTATCTTTTCTGAATATCTGACACTGTTTTAAGTTCATACTGATAAATTTTAGCTGAAGAACCATCTCCTTTTCTGTGGTATGACAGAAAATCTATCCTATTGCCTTTTTTGCCTGTGAAGAAGTTTGTACCGTTGACAACATGACTTAAGACAGCATCAGAAAACTTGGTATTTCCTGGCCCATCACATCCATCCCCAGGACCCCCAAACTTCAGGAGGGGACTGGCTGCTAACAAACCCTCTGAACAGGCATCGTAGTAATTCAGAAATCCCTGAACTGAAAACTTAATGTTGTCAAAATCATGACAATCTGGCTCATTCCACGTCTCAAAGTTCCAATCCATGACTTCGCTCAGGCCAAACTGGTCTATGTAGTTTGATGCTAACTGGGTTATCATATCCTTCCACATGTCTACCTGTGTTGAGTTATCAAAGTCAGTGAAAATGCCTGATGGGTTTCCCATGAGTTCAAATCCTGGTTTTAAACCATAGGTCCACAGCCAACCAATCACATCATCTAATTTTGAAAAATCGTATGTCACATTTCCATTGGTTTGTTTCACAGTAACAAGCTCCAACAACCAATGAATTCTGACCTGTTTTATACCACTGTGAGGAAGTGAGCCAATCAGAGCCATGTTTAGTTGCATGTCTTTGCTAAAGTCAAATTTGTAAGCATCCTTATGAGGCAATGGTGGAGAAAATCCTGTACTCTTCCAGAAATGTGTCAGATCATTCCTTATGTCTTTTGTATCAACATCCAGATTATATTCCACTGAAGTCACTAGGGATATCAAGGCAAATAGGTTACAAACCACCAGAAAAGATTTTCCTGGGAAGGAGCTCATTCTGAGAGTCTTTGGCTGTCCATCCATTGTTGGAGGATAAATAAGTTGGTGATCTCCAGCTTCTTCAATCCCCTGTACTTGATAACAGTCGTCACAAGACCTACAAGGGGGTTGAAATGACCTTGTTGATGTAATCTTTTCTAATCTTGTCATTATCATTTAAACATACACCATATACATGTGCACTTAAAAATGATACACAATGATTTTTCAGCAAAAAGAATGTTTGTTGAAACAAAAGCATAAATATACAGCATGAGTTAACTGTAGTGCACAACATCACAAATTATGATGTTGGTTTTGATACACTTTTGTTTAATAGCAGGAAAATCACTTATAACTTATATTTACTGTCTTTGCTTCTTTTTTTTATATCTCAAAATTGAAGATAATAATAAAAAAAAATAGTACAACAGTAATATGCAATCTAATATACTTGTAATACATAAAACAAGCTCTAAAGGAAACAAAAGTCAAGTGATATGTGAATTAATTTCAAACTCCTCTGTACAGAATAGTATGAAGTTTTATGACTAATTTTATTTAAAATTACAAAAAAAGCATAATCTGCACAATTCTTATGAGATTAAAAGGATGTCAAAAAAATTATTGTTGTTGTAACATTAATGGAAATATAAGTTCATTAATTTTTCTCCCTCTTCAGTCTTTTCAGACAATTATACTTCAAAACCTTACAAGGAAGCAAATATCTGAGCCTTTATCAAATCAATACACTTCATGACACTTGACCATCATAAAGGAACCAATACCTAGACTATGAACTGGAGAATAACAATTCATCACATTGAAGGAACCAATACCTAACTATGACCCTGATAACAAGAATTCATCATGAAGGAACCAATACCTAGACTATGAACCGGAGAATAACAATTCATCATATTAAACGAACCAATACCTAACTATGACCCTGATAACATGAATTCATCATAAAGGAACCAATACCTAGACTATGAACAAGAGATCAATACAATGTACCGGTACCTAGAATTTGACCCACAGAACAGGAATCCAGGAAGAACAAATAAGATCAGTTTTATCAAATTTACATGACAGACAGAACACAAAGACTAAGCAAATCTTCACTCTAGACTGCGTGATTAAATCTTTGTACACACAACATTTTTTGCTTTAAAAAACTTTAAATAACAGCTCAACCAAGACAAAGTTTAAAATTAAACAATTTCCTCTAGTTCTCATTATTTTGTCATTGTGAATATTGAATATCACTTTTTATCATAATACAAAACTGAATGCAAATGGCATCCAAAAATATTTGTCATAAACAGAAGACTTTCATCCCCTGGCAGTGAAGTTGGAGAGATTATGAGGAGAGTAACATACAATGAAGCGCATTGAAGTGGTAAAATTTTCCGTTCGAATGGAACGTTTTGAGCTATCTTTAGAACGTTTGTTGTCATCTTATGACACGCCCATTTCTTTAGAAATTGATAAAACGGTCAATCTGTTTATCCAAATACCTGTAGAACAGGTTTTCCATAAATATAGTAGCCAATCAAATTGACGACTATGAATAAACACCAAGTAAACGCGTGTTCGAGAGAGAGAGAGAGAGAGAGAGAGAGAGAGAGAGAGAGAGAGAGAGAGAGAGAATGTTTTTTCCGAAACATGTGTTGTGGTAACTTCAATAGACATGATAACTTCAAAAATATGTTTATATTCGTTGCAATTTGAGTTTTAGAGAAGCGGGGAGTCTCTAATTCTTTCTTCTAATTTTTTAATGGTCCATTTCAGTGTAACTCATGTTGTTGTGACCACCCACAAGTAACATGCAAGGAAGATTCCAGCGAACTTTTTTACCATTTTTGGACCATTTTCAGAAGTAACGAAGAGTGGGGTGTCCTAAAACATTACGACGAATATTTCTTTCTCGTTTCTATAAATATGGGCGTGTCATTATATTATAATTGACGTTCAAAGCATGACTCAGAACTTTTCATCCAAACGGACAATTTTACCACTTCAATGCGCTTCATTGTATCAGAAACCCTTGGCTCGCAAAGATGATACATGACCACCAACATACAATTTTATATATATACTTCTATACCATATCCAAATTTCAAATGCTAATTCATGACTGCATTCACAAGTGCACAATATTAAGTTTTACTAAATTTTGAATTCACTGGGAGAAGAACCAGGGCAAATACTGTAATATCATTTAAATTCCTGGGGGTCAATGTTTGAAGACGAGCAAGATATTGTTAGTTCATGGGTATGTAATGTCATGGGCATCTTGATCATTTGGTAGATTCAAAGAATCAACACATTGACAAAATAATCAATCAAAGGGATGTAATTTCATGGGTAGGGATTTTTCATCAAAACCACAAACATCGCTCCCTAAAAATAGGGATGAATCCACTGTATATATACATTATAGCTGACACTTTCACTGTAGTGTACACGTATGTAATAAAATACAGAAATGAATGATAAAAAGATTTTTGAACGAGCTCTAGAATTATTGTAAAGAACAAAATTCAATTTATTTTCCATTGAAACATAGGTCCATGTCCTAATGGGCCAATAACCCATGTTCATGTAAAAGTATACTTGTAAACAAGGTCTTATAATCACTCTTCTGTATTTATATATATCTACATATCCGAACCATAACCTTATCAACAATAAATTTAAAAAAGAAAATTGAGTTCTTGACATCACATATATTTGAATTTACTGCTTATCGCAGATTACTTCATGAAAATAATTATCAAATTTATAAATATAAATGCATACCAGGCATATACATGTAATTATCATAAAATTAAAATAATGGATTTCCATTTGGAAGAAATTTTATGAAAATCAGATGTATGTTCTGGTTTTTCTAATTTGTTCAAATGATGTAATGGATGTAAGTGTATCAATCATAAATCACATATTTATAAGTAAAGCATTGTCAAAGTTATACATGTACTTAGTAAGGTCAAGAAAAAAGATGTATTTAAATTAACATATATATAAAGGAAAAAGGGAATTATTAAAAGCATAAATGTTGATATACTTACAAAGAAGTGGCTGAATCATCCAAGATGGAACCACATGGACCAAACTTGCAATTTGGCATAACACCATACAGAGATTTGGTTCTCCTGAAAGACAAGATAAAAAGTCCATTTATTGACAAGTCATGTCAAATAATATGAAAATAAAGTATGGATCAATAATATCTACAAATGTTCAAATTGAAACAAATTTATAATTTATGAGAAGATATTAAGTTTATTTTTTCATCCTTTTCGTTTGAAACAGATGTTGTAATACAGGAATAGCTATATCCTTTTATTTACTTTCAAAGATGTTATCAAGTTAGTGGGTTAGCTAAAACATACCAGGAAGGGGAAAAAGGCTTTTGTTTAATAAAAAAAAAACACATTATCCTTTTGTAAAGAACATATCAAAAATATCAAACCTAAAACCACAGTTTCTTTTTCTAAGATCCGAAATTTGAACATTCTCTACTCCATTCATGTTTAAACCACAATATCAGCTGTTTTATTTTCCTATACACAGTCTACCTGAGTATTTTTGTTAGCGTAACTGATCATTGGCCCTTTTTTGGCAGGCATCAAAGGTTAACATGCATTTATAATAATATCAATTATAAACAAATTTGTCATTTATCAAACAATTAACAGTGTTTTATATTTCTTTGTTAATAAATGAATGATTGATAAAGCCTGCAAGCTAAGGACTGTCACCTTACTTGAAAGAACGATTCTTCCTACAAAGAATAAAACAGCAAAGATTTTTTTAAAATTAAAAACAACCAAATAAAAACAAATAATACACCAACAAGGCAATAACTAAATAAAACTTGTACTTTGTTTGAGCATACTACAATTGATAATTCTATGTTTGTAAGATGCTGTTATTGAAATACAATGTAGTGAAATTTTGATAAGAATCTAAAAGTCACGAAAGAAAGTCACGAATGAAGTTTCAATTTCACTGATCTGCCAAGAAATTTTCTTTTTAATTATCCCTCTTTAGAATAAAAAAATAACTTGCTTTTTATGAAAAAAGAATAGAATTTTAAACCAAATGACATGCCATGTGTATAGTTATAAGGCTCTAAATCTGACTGATGCAATTCATGAGGAACTTATACCCCTAGGATTTACTACATATTTAGCAACACAATTAAAAAGTTCTACAAAATTTTGACCACCAGAGAAACTAATAAATTAAGTAATAGTTTATTTCAAATATCACTAACTGAACACTTATAGATTAGTACAGATTTCTTTGTGTATTTGCTTCAGGTAAAAATTAAAAATAGACATTTTTTTTTATTATTTCTTAAAATTGATTTCCCTTTAACCTTGTACTTTTGAATACCCCTTCAGTCTCCAGTCCTGATAATGAGATACAATGTAGGTCAAAATAGTTTATGTGCTATTTACTGACATGAAACAATAGTACAATCGTTCTGTAGGTAAGGACCATGATATCAATATCCTAAAACTTCACATGCATCACACAAACACATGCAAACAAACTTTGAATACCGTATCACTTCTATAAAGAGGAAGTATACACTATCGTGACAACAGAACCTACTTCAAACAATTCATGGAGAAAATTATATATGACTAAATTTGATGCAAGTAGTAAATCAGTTTTGTTTTTTTTAAAATGATTCAATCAGTTAATACTTATCTTCTTCCTGGTTTACATGATGTAGTGGATAACAACTTAATCAAAGCTTAGCTGATACTTTGAACAGTATTCCACAAAAGTAAATACGGGGTGGTGCTTAACTTTGATCTTTTATGGAGCTTTCAAATTTCACATTTAGTACACTGATTTTTTTTCCCCACTATTTCACAAAAGTTAATAAGAAAACATAAAAATAAAACTGCATTTCCTCCTGTACAAGCTGTTATTTTACAAAATTGAAGATCAAAAACATATACAATGTAGCATTGTACCATTCACACTTTTAAGTTCTTGCAACTTTCTGAAATATTGAAACTAGAGCTACCCATTCATGTATATAAATAAAAAGGTGATATAATCATATAAATACCTCCATGTCCTCAAAAAAGGACATATCTGAAATGTTATATGCTTCTCCATACTGACTGTCCCCTCCATACGACCTACATTTTACTTCTAACAAGATAATGCTTTATCAAATGTACTGAAAAATCAATGGACAAGAATTTTATGCTCCAATCTCTATGACCTTGACCTTTCCCAAATGATTCGCCCAAGATTCAAACTTTTCTGCACTACCAAACCTCAAAAACTTTGCATTTCTTAACAGTTAACATTATAAATAATGTCATAAATTGCTTAGTCATTATTTTTTTTCCAGATGACTTAAGTTCAGGGCTACAAAACACCTAATACAGAAAAAAATAATGTAACTATATATACAGTAGTTGATAAACATGCACTGCTATGACCCCAACATCACAAAGACGCAATATTATAATGACAGCAACTCTACGTTAAATACGCATTTGCAATAAGCCCATAAGAGATCACATCCTTCAACCTGTTGAAATTAAGCATGTATTGGTATGTATTTCTCCTTTAATATATATAGTGTGGCATTATCAATGATGTCTATAGCATTGTCCACAGATGGCAAGAGCATGTGGAGACAATAAAACTATTCCTTATCTAATCATACTCTCTATATTATGATCCATACAATATATAAGAAAATACGGTAATTTTTACCATCAGCCCAGCTCAAATTCTTCTCAAACAATTACATGTACATAGATAGTACTTTTCAGAAAAATTAATTACATCATTATCATATTTATTGCACATCTTTTTTGTCTGAAGCGAGGAATAAATGGTACATGTAAATAAAACATACCCCCGGTAATATATAAAACATGCATATTAACATAAATATTTAGATATTTTGCTAGGCGAGGCATCCCTTTATATAGATGTGCAATATACCAATCTGAGTGATTGACACTTCTAACATGTGTCCATTGCATGTAAATAATTACCCTTGAATCACTGCTACCATAATCAATATATTAGTATACCTGATCTGCTATATCTTCTATTCAAAAATTTTACTGACTGCTTTAGAGTCGGTCATCCCTAAATACAAACTACAAGATAGCTAGACTGTTCCATGCACCATAAGCATGCAGGATGATAAATACAAGTAACCATGTGTTAAGTGGGGTATTATGTCATCAGTCATAGATCACACTTAATCACATTCTAAGGGCATCTCAAAGAAGTACCAAGGAGAGATGATTGCTCAATATTGTCAGTCCTTCACGTCAGATCTCTTATCCTTATAAAATCACCAAGTAAATTTGACTACAGTAGTATGTACCATTTACTAATCTATCTATTAAATTACTCAGTCTACCTAAATCATCTCACAAACAAGATTACAACTGAACAGATACACAACAGAAACACAAATATTTACCATTCAATATCAATGCATTAGTAAATTTAGCGCAATGAGTAAAAAATTCACCACAACAAGTAAGTTAATAAATATTAAAAGCAGAATTTTTACCTCCCCTTTTCCGTGTCTTGGCTTTTTATTTACAAAAAAAATTCAAGTATTATTATTTTTATTATCAATATAACTATTAAATATGCCAAAATATATGAATATTTACAATAAAAAATAAAATTACACGTCAATAAGGATGGTTTAGTTGATTATTGCAAAATTTAATTTTTTTATAGTACATATATATAACATATACTGGTGAATTTTTTTATTTCTTTTCACCTTTATTTTCCAATAAATAAAGTGTACAGTATTAAATATTACTCTTCAATATTAAATGTTTGAATTATTTTTTAAAAAAATAATTGTTTTGTTAACTGGACATATCACAAGTACAGTTTATGCAAATATTTGCAAGCTGTTAAAGAAATATTTTGGCATGATGTGAATACAATATGACACACACAAGTCTAAGTAGGGTTTAAAATATTATTTTTTTTAAGTAAAAATATTGCATATATCTAGTTTAAGTAGTCAATATCTGTCTTCACCTTTGACTGCTGTCAACAATAAGAAATTATCCTCAAGAAATAAAAATGCCCAAACTTAATAATTTACCTGGTCCTTGAAAATCTTGCATTTCTCCTTTTCACTCCATTAACTTGACTACCACCATCCGACTCGTCGGTGAAATTTTCACCCAAGTTAAATGTGACCATCTTGTCGTTGACGAGATCCATTGACTCTGACTCCGAATTGCTTTTCCGCCTGATACCGTTGACTGGTGAGCTCATCTTGCTACTTGTTCACTTCAGCAGGATGTTTACATTGCAGCGGAAGTCATCGTATGAGTTCACCAAAGCGTATCCCACCCAAAGCTAAGCTAACAAAACAACTTTTTTTCAAATACGAGTTCTTCCCCAATATTAGATTTAAAAAAACTTGAAATATTAACTATCTAAATCATAACTAAATATGAGATAAATCTCAAAGAGCACAGCAATATCCCAAGGTGCGAGACTAAACAGATGTGATTTCTTACAAAAAGAAATATATTGAACGACGAACCCGATATTAAAAGATAAAACTCCAGTCAACATGGTCAAGCTGTATTTCAATTTAGAACAAGATAAATACAAAAATAATAGCAGTAGAAGAAAACGATTCAATTTTTCATGGTTTGTTATAAAGAAAAGTTGAAACTAGTTACTAGGCCTAGTGCCAATCATATGCTTACCGCAGTGCGCATTTCATTAGAAAAACTTTTTGCGAACACGCGAGTTTCAAATCTGTTTTCTTCGAATTTACCTGGAAACGAAACTAGACAGGACACTCTTAGCCAAGTCCACAAATATGAGTGACAATGATGAGGACACGACTCTCTGCAAAAACTGGTTTGTAACATTTCTAAGGAGTTATTTATTAAAGCTAGTTTACTTTACATTGTCATAACAATGTTTAGCAATATGGTTAACTGTTTCAAAACAACTTTCTCTGTTGACACAAATTTACATTGTCATTTTTTTTAAATGATGACTTCTTTCATTTCTATGACATCAATGATTCATAAAACCTGTTTTGAAGTAATACTATCTTAGGTTACTTTGAGGTTTGTATTCAATTTATTTATTTAATCTATTTACCAATTAGAGCCCTCAATTGGCCGATATAGAAAGTACACTGTAAACACTAGCTGCAATAATGTAGCCCTCTCCGATTTTTTTTATCTGATGTTTTCTGGAGAGGGCTACAATTCCACGGCATCTCCGTAATGGTGCAAAAATATTTTTTAAATACAAGCGACTGCAGGCAGAATAAATTGTTTTTACATTCAACTTACTTCTAATAAGACGAAATTTTTATTCACTGTCGACATCCTAGCCCGTTAAACGCGAAAACCATGTAAATTAAATTTGTGCCTTACTCTACAGCCATGACAGTTCACGCGTGACGTACTGAGACTTGCGCTTGAAATTTAGAATAACTCAATAAAGCAAATGTCGATGTTTATAAATAATTGTGATGAATAATAATGTTCACTAAACATCGATAAATAAAATCATTCCATGTGTTATTTTTCCATAAACAGCGATATTTAGACTTAAAATAAGTTAATTCCAAAGAATCTGCTAACTATAGGTCTTTAATCTCATTGGCTGTCCCAAAATAAAATCTGTCAAGGTCAGTAAACATGGCGGATATATTTAAGTTGTGATGTTGACATACACAAAAAATAAGGATATATGAATTGTTCTGTATATTTTTGGATCGATTTATGTCTGGGATAACTACATTTTGGAAGTCAAGATAAGACATATTTAATAAAATAGCCGTTTACTGACAATTTGAGCAGTAATCTGTGCGGGAGTGAATCGCTGCTGCATTGCACCATTACTAAGAAATCCTATGAGGAGTTGTAGCCCTCTCCCCCTCCCCCCTGAACACTTTGATTTTCCATGAGGGAGTCTGTTATAGGGAGAGGGTTACATTATTGAGCTATGTAAAAAATTATAACATTATACATGTACACACACATTTAAAGCAAAATATGAATTTCCATTGTTTATAGGAAAAAGACATTAAAAGTAGGAATAAACATAATAAACGAGATATCTTTTGTTCTTATATCTTTATGCCCCCGTTTTTTGAAGATAAGGCGTATATATTTTTTCATTCAAGAAATAACTGTGTTGTCACTCATCAATAGCCCTAAAATTTACCAACTTTAACCTTGTCAATAATTTTGTGTGATTTTTAGTTGGTATGTTGTGCCTCAGAAAGCTTTTTGCACATGTTGAAAAAATAACACATTTATATTTAAAGTTGATAAAATAGCTTTATCATGTATATAAATATTTTTTATTCCTTGACCTTTAATTTTATCACCACTTTTTAAAAAATTTCAGTTACATGTATTATAGAATTCCTATAATTTATGAGTTTATCCACAATGTGAAAATTTTGGCCTCCCTAATAGAGGATCAACATGACTATCTCCTTGACTTTGGGTGTTGCCCCACATGTTAAAAAACTTTAAGTTTGGCACAATTTAACTTTTTTGAAATGGTTAATGTATGGGCTCTCATATTTCAAGATTAAGTATATTCATGAAGGCCTCCATATTTTACAAGTATATTCATGAGAACTTTATCTTTGACACAACTTTTTAATGATAAGTGTTTGGGATTTCATATTTCATAAGTATATTTAATGAGAGCAAGTTCTTTCTTTGGGTAACAACATATTTTCATTCCCTGACCATATTAAAGTTTTGTCTTGCTTTTGAGAAAATACAACCTTCGCCAAAAGCTGTCATACAGGGGCATCTGAGTGTTTCACACACATCCTGTTACATATTATATAATGCATCAGTGTTGGAAACTTGCCATTAAAATAAGCTGATTGCTAATTTAAGTTTTCAGTCATGCTTTAGGACTACTAGCCTGATAAAATCATTTCCCTTTTTAAATAATTATTTTTATTGCATTGTGAAAATAATATGCTAGCATAGATCTGTTTTTAAGCTGTCAAATGCCAATCCTATGAATCTATCAGTAGGAACAGTTGGCATAACTTTGATCTGTATTATATTTGTATTAAAGAATGACTTCTGTTTTAATGCTTCTTTACATGTACCAGTAACTGTTGTTGAGATTTATCAAAGTAAGTTTTTAATTGATAGCAATTTTAACACATATAGCTGGACATTGAAACAAGCAAATTGGTTTTCCCAGAACAAAATCTGTTTGTCACAGACAACCAGGTGTATTATTATTTAAAACATTGAATATATCTACATATACACTGGCTGTCTTATTCAGTATTCAGAATCATATTCTTTTCCTTTGTGTTTCAGCAATCAAGTACTATCTTCAAGTGTTTTATTTAGATCACATCACAGTATACATGCAGACAATAAATGACTTAGAAATCTAGTAAATTAGTTCTTTGATCCACAACATTAACAAAAATTCAGAGCAGTTGAAAGATGTCATTTTTAACTAAAATTACAACTGATAAACAGTTTCCTGCTACTAACAGGGTTTGTGCTTCAGGTCAACACCAATGTTTTAAGAATTTGAATTTTCCTTTTTAGTCGAAGACAGATTGCTACATCAAATTTTGTATTGCATGAAATGCACTGCAAAAGAAATATTTCCCTCTGTGAACATTGCAATGAGCCGATTCCTAGAGCAGAAATGGAAGTTCACTTCGAGGAGAACCATGCCAAAATACCTTGTCCCAAGTGTAACAAAGAAGTGGAGAAACAGCATTTGGAAATTCATGAGGTACATCTTTAGATAAACATGTTAGGTACAAATTAAGGTCCATGTCAACCCTTTAAAAAATTGCATGCCATTATAAATGTTAAGCAGAGGTCAAACTAGGATTCTTAGCAATTCATATTTTAAACAAATTTGCAAATATTTTAAAAGAAATTGATAAAGAATGTACCTTTAGAATATATTCAACATTATTCAGAGTGTGGTAGTTTATCATGAAAGAATTTTTTTTATAAAGATTTATATGTTAAGTGCTTATTGCAGTACTGGCTGTATATTGCATTTATAAAAATTCTTTTGGTTTATTGTCAGAAACTAAAACACCCATTATCATTGGCAAATGAAATAATAAGAATATAAAACATTGTTTTCATTATACTTCTGATATATATAATTTATGTTTTAAGGAACAAGAATGTCTCAAAAGACCAATCAAGTGTGTTTACTGTGAAATGGACGTGGCTAAGGGAGAGTTAGAGGAACACCAGGGATACTGTGGAACCCGCACAGAGAACTGTATACGATGTGGACAGTTTATAATGGTGAAAGACATGGCTCAGCATGAGGAGTCCAGGTGTAACTACCGAGAAATCCAACCCAAGAACAACAATAACACACCGGTGGATATTCCCCATCTCCCCAGTAATGGATCAGTTACATCAAACAGGAGAGCAGCCCCTCCAGTGGTGGATGACTCAGATGATTTCTTGTTTGGATCAGGTGAATTAAATTCCTTCCAGATGGATGAGATCCAGAGATTACTGGGAGTGAATGGGATGGGACCCTCACATCAGACAAGGGTGACTCCCCCCACTCGGACTACCGCCCGGGGAGGGACCCAGGCTGTCAGCAGTAAGAGTAAGAAAAAGGAGGTCAACTTAGAGAGGAGGAATGGAAATGGAGAAGTCGGTCATAACCAGAACCATCATGTCCATGGTGTGTATACACAGTATTTATGATCTTCTTTGTGACTAATGCTGATATTTGATATAATTTAATAACAGACTTTATTGATCCTTTTTAGACCAAACTTTTTTGCCCTGTGAATTTTGTGGAGAAGCATTTCCCATTGATGTGCTTGTTTTACATCAGGTATTTACACATATACTTATCATACCTGTGAGACACTAATGATAGAAACAATACAGTCAAAAAAAAGTTAAAACTGTTCAGATGGAAAAATAGAAACTAATTCACTATATTCATATATCAGTCATTTTTAAAATATTTATACTTGAAGTCAAAATCTGACTTTATTAAAACTTTTAATTTGCTCTCAAGTTCTTGCTTTTTATTACCCTTACATACATCAAGCTATCAATAGTGTGAAGATACAGTAGATAGAAAACTATGTACGTATGTTCAATATCTTTACAGGGTTCCTGTACAGAGGACCAATTGAGCTCACTAATGGCAGACACAAATCTCAGAGAGGAATCTGACAACAGAACAAACTACCCCATTTATCCCATTCAAAGACCTCTCCCTAACGTCATCGATAACCTCCATAGTTACATGGATGATTCTGATCCCACAGGGTAAGGATTTATACTCACTCCAGCTAATATCTATGTTTCCTCACCAACACTGTGAAATGTATTATGAAGTCAGAGTTTCTACTTTGTTTGAAAATGAAGATGGGGATATTTTATTATGCTATTTCCTCGGTTGTTTTATTGTAGGTTTATTAATGACGTCAGCCCAGTAGAACCACATGATGACCTGATGCTTCCATGTGAATTCTGTGATGAACTATTCCCACAAGATGTTCTTGTTCAACACCAGGTATTAATTTATATATACTACGTCTAGAATTAGCAATGAGCAATGACAAATGGTTTATTATGATTTTTTTGTCCAATTTTTTAGTACATAAGTACAAATATATTTGAAAAAATTATTTTTTCATTCCTGACATGTATCTTGTTTCATGAAATATCGTATCTCCTTTACAAAGCACCTGACACCTAAATAACTTTTTTATTTGTTTTAGGCAGTTTGTGATTCTGATGCATTAAAAACTCCAAGAGTGATGTCCCCTGTAGTAAGAAGCACAGGTGCCAACCTTAAAAGAGTCTCAAACACACCCAGGAACAAACCACAACATACTCCAAATATCAATTCAATTATTTACGGCAGAGATCATAATGCAACCCCTCCTGGACCCCACTCGCGAGACCTGGATCACACGCTGCGGAAATATGGAAGTTCCTCTTTTGATGTGTATGGTTCAAGAGGTCAACATCGAACAAGTGAAAGTGAAAATGTCTCTCCTCCGTCCCCTAGGAGGTCTACTTCTAGGACCTCCGTGAGCAGTGCTGCTCGCACCAGAAAGACATTAGGTAGCCTGCTCAGTGATAATGACTCTCCCCTCCCCTCATCCAGGCAGGCAGGTATACGCAGGACAGGGGATTCAAGGGAGGCTACTGGGTCCTTTGTTGGGATCCCAAGCACAAGAAAGAACAATGTGAATTTAAATAATCTTGCCAAACAGTCTGCATACTCTTCTGTTAGTTCTAGTCGAGGACCTGGTGCTGTATCTAAAAGAAATGGTATGTTTCCTCCATTATTTGTCCCTCAGTTTTTAAACCTGTGTTTATTTTATTAGTCCTACTGTGTTTATTTTTGTTGCTTGGGTATTGTGAGTGATGGCACCTTACTTTCTATGACTTTTTTTGTGGTCAGATGCAAAGAAAACAAACACAGGGGCCAGTCGACGAGACTATCTTGACCCAGACTTAGAAGTCGGTAACCTACGTCCAACAAGGTAATCAGGTTTTAAAAATACTCAGAATAGCATGAAAATGTCCTACAAAAGTACACACATTAAACATTGAAATAGAAGTGTAGGGTTCTGTTATTTATTGATGAAGCATAAAATTTTATAATTTGAAGGAAGTATATAACATCTGTTTTGGGAGTAACTTTTACAAACATTATGAACCTATAGTTATTCCAGGTCACAGAGGAACTCAGATGGTCAGTACCTACCATCCACTCCCGGTCAGTCTAACACAAGACAGAGGGACAGAACATTTGACTACGGTGGGGAAAGGACAACCAAAAATGTAAGTTTCTAAAGCAGTTTTACTAAAAATGTAAATAAAAGAGAGTAAATTTATCAACACTTTTTTTTTTAAATATTGTTTTTTTCCTACAGAGAAATCCAACAAAAAGAAGAGACCAGTATTAAAACGAAAGACTACTTTTGAATTTTGAACTTCACGCTTATTCATTTTTGAAGTAATATAAAATATCTAATTTCTGCTTCATAGTTGTGACCCTTTCGTTAGTATTCTTAGGAAAGAGGTGCATTTTTAATTTAAATCACTGTAGATTCTGCCTTGTGGATCAAGAGCTACCATAGCTGATTTAAAAGTTCTTTAATTAGGCATTGATTTTTCTTTACTGGGTTTTCACTGCTAGTTTTTTTGTTATGAAGTGCAGGAAAAGCATGATTTTTGATATACAAGTAATGTAATGTATATATAAATTTTGTAAGTCAGGTGACATTGTATTTTTTTTTTTTTAAGTTTTCTCTCCTTTGATTGATATTTCTTGAAACATGATTATTGGGTATATAAATTTAGTGGTATATTTAAGAATTAAACACCAGCAGTTATAATCGTCTACATTAAAATTTGATTTCATATACTTACATCATTATAAATACAGTTAGATACTGTTAGAACATACATGCTTATCATGCATTCATGCTTTAATATAGCAAATTTATTTTTATTCCCTGTTGTGTTAAAACATTTGATGAACTTAACAGGTTCACTGTTATAAGGATTCAAAATTGTTCATCCATTGTGCTTTGCTGTAATATATAGCTATATTGTTTTGGACAAAATTAACATTTTTTTTTTGTAATGATGTTATACAAATTGTTTAAGCATTGATTAGAAAATAATCAGTTACCCAAAACTGTGCGCAAGTACATGTACCGGGGTATTGTCATACATGCTGAATCACATATTTTTTCCACATTTAAAATGTGGCACAGAATTTCTTAGTGACCAATTTTGGCTTTCTTCATTATCTTGTTCTTCTATTTATGGCATCCAGGTACAGTTTTTGATTATTTAATTTCTATAATAAAAATTTTGTGATAATTTCTAATGCATGTTTCATTAAGATGTTGATTTATACATTGATTAATATACCTTTGTTAAAATTGTGTCATCACATTAGTAAGTTAATTTAAATATTTATATAAGTTATTTGAGAAGCTGAGATTAAAGCCTATAACATTAGTTAGTTCTTATGTTTTATTTTAAGTTGTTTGGAGGGGTTTTATTGTAGAATCCTTGTCTACTTATCTGTGCAGATGCAAGGTTGAAGTTGGCAAAAAAAATTCTGTGTCCAGACCAGGCTCACAAAAATGTTTCTTTCATGCTATATTGTTATGCAGTAATGCCAAACAAATAAACATAAGGGGCTTTAATATTATAATTAGATTGCCTATATAGTCGATCAACAAATAACACTATGTTTACAAGGTAGCCATTTGGTATTTTTTCAACAAGACAACATTTTCATGAATTCTGGATATTGTATGAAATTGTTTATGAAAAAAAAAAACCCAAAACTTTCACATCCTGATGATCTTGCATGAAAAATAAATTTCTCACATATGAAAAAGTGATTTACAGTTCATGAAGGACACCTTGTAGATTTGTTTCAGTGGACGCACACACTTTGTTTGGGGGTGAAGTGTATAATGAGCCATATAAATATATATATATATATATATATATAATAGGGATGGCAATCAAATACAGAATTGCTAATCGATTAACCAAAGACGTTCAGAATGATTAACTGATCAATCGTATATAAATACCAGGTTTAAGAAAATTATGTTCAATGATATACTTCATTTTTTCTGACTAACCATGCAATTACAGATTTCCCTAACCGATTACCATTGGTCCCACTGAATAATCGGTTAACAGGTTACAAATTGCCACGCCTTATGTACATGTATATATTTCAAATCTCTTACTATAAATCATTTTCAATTATTAAAGGTTCTTAGACACAGATTTGAAGTAATATTTTCTCAAATTTTCTGTATAATTTCATGAATATGTTGCTATAGCATTTCATATGAAAACATAATAAAAATCTTATTTTATCTGGAAATTATTGAAACTTCAAATTTCTGGACGCATTTGACAGACACATCCTTGCACTTTCACAAATTTCAACTTTATCCTTATTTTGAAAAGTAGCAATTTTGTCGTGTATTAATGAAAAATAATAAAACTATAATCCCAAAATTTCAGAGTAGAAATGTATAAATCAAAATCCTCTCATCAGTATTGACAGTCCGTGCTCAGTGGTGTGTGCAGAGTTCAACAATTGAACACACCTGGTGAAATCGTAAACATTAACAATAACAGAGCTTGTACCCTGTTTACAAATACAGTTTACCGGTATGTTTCATGGGTGTATTCAATTTGTTAAACTCTGTACATAACTAAACAATACTCAGCATGGGCTGACTATAGTTAAGTGGGTTTTTCTTTCGAACGTTTCTACTAGTAATTTTCTGGATTACAGCGAGCGCACCGAGCATCGCGAAGTGATGCTCGTAACTGCGAGCTCTAACGACAACGCCTGGGCGAAGAGAAAATTCGGACTACTGCACATTCATTCCATAGAAATTTTTTCCGCAGTAATTTTGACCCACAATGCATCGCTTCGTACACAAACGCTAAAGCCATGTTCTCGCGAGAATAACGACAAAATGCCTTGATTTAACAGAAAAATAGTCAATAAAACGGTTCTTCATTTACAAATTCAGCGCTGTTCAGGCTTCGGTTTGATAATCCAACATGCATACGACGTCATATGACGTCAGAGTCTTAGACGCGCCGAATGTCACGTGCGGTTTGACGAGCCCGATCTAAATGAAAACTGCGCTCGCCCTAACAGTCGCGCCGTCAACAAATTACATTAATATTTTTCATTATTACACAACAAAATTGCTACTTTTCTTAATTATTAAGGAAATTAAGGTTTAAAATTGTGAAAGTGCAAGGATATGTTAAACAGATGCCTCCCGAAATTCGAAGTTTGAACAATTTCTAGATTAAATAAGTTTTGTATTTTAATTTCGTGTAAGATGCTATAGCAACATATAAGTCGTGATGTTCTACAGAAAATTTGAGAAAATATTAACTTCAAATCTGTGTCTAAGCACCTTTTAGACCTTTATAAAGATTTGATGGATTCAATCATCTAACTCTTCAACCTTGAAAGAAAATTTTGGATCATTTAAATATACATGGATACATTTAGTTTCATGTTCTTGGAAATGTTGAATACTGAGCACATTTAAACTGATATAAGATTTCCAAGAATCAATTCTCAATAATTGATTCCATTTTACTTAGATATGTGGTACTGCATTGTACTTTTGGAACTTATGTATCATTACATAACAACAGAGTAGGAACTTCTTAACATTTAATTATGAAGAACATAGATGGAATATAAGTAACAACTCAACTAGTTAAAAATAGATTAAAATATGCATGAGAATTATGCATTGTTGTGTGTACTGTTCTAGTCATGTGTACTCCCTAGTCTGTGATATGGCACGATGAAAATGGACGACACTCTACATCAAAGGAAAATATCTGTAAAGGAAATGAAAAACAGATATAAAGAATTTTTTTTAAATAGTTAAATTTATTAAGGTATTATTTTTGTACTTTGCAACCATTTCTTCATTGATCAGTAAATGGTTATTTGATTTCTATTATATGTCATTTAAAGAGTCATTCATTGATGATTACATCAAAAATTTGTAAAATTCAGAATTCAATATTTAAATCCAAAAAAAAAATTGGTTTGTACAGTAAATTACAAACACATCAGATGACTGGCAATAAAATATTAACATCCCTATGATATTTCTGTAACAAACATGCTATACACTGCATGAACTACTTCTTGCATACCTACCATTAACATTTTTGTCTATAACTACATACCTACCATTAACACAGTGTTGTGTCTATCTGTTTAATATGAGGTAGGGCTAGCTTGATTTATGTCTATAACTATACATACCTACCATTAACACAGTGTTGCATCTATCTGTTTAATATGAGGTAGGGCTAGCTTGATTTATGTCTATAACTACATACCTACCATTAACACAGAGTTGCGTCTATCTGTTTGATTTGAGGTAGGGCTAGCTTGATTGATGTCTATAACTATATACCTACCATTAACACAGTGTTGCGTGAATCTGTTCCATATGAGGTAGAGCTAGCTTGATTTATGTCTATAACTACATACCTACCATTAACACAGTGTTGCGTCTATCTGTTTGATTTGAGGTAGGGCTAGCTTGATTGATGTCTATAACTACATACCTACCATTAACACAGTGTTGCGTCTATCTGTTTGATTTGAGGTAGGGCTAGCTTGATTGATGTCTATAACTATATACCTACCATTAACACAGTGTTGTGTCTATCTGTTTGATTTGAGGTAGGGCTAGCTTGATTTATGTCTATAACTACATACCTACCATTAACACAGTGTTGCGTCTATCTGTTTGATTTGAGGTAGGGCTAGCTTGATTTTCCGTCTATAATTGGGATCGGGTCTCTTCTCCCCGTCATAGTAAAGGGGGTTCCTCTCTAGGTAAACTGTGGCCAATTTTTTCATCGATTCCAGTTCTTTTAAGTCATTCCAATCAGACACTTTATTATCATTGAACTGAAAAAATTAAATTTCACACCCTTAACATGCTTAACTTTAAAATGAAGCAAAATTGTCCCATTTAAGTACACTTTACTAAGATATAAGCATGCATGATTTACTGTATATACTACAAAAGATAAACTGCCCACTGGACAATTATGACAATTTAATGGAATTCAGCATGAAGATGACAAATTTTACATGCATAATTGCACATGCTTGTCTTAGAAGATGAAGTTGGTTTCTACAGGTATAAAATGATTGAAAATTACATCTGAACTGGAAAAGAATGCTAGAAGTTTCTTTACCCAAAACTCTTCCATTTCAGTCAAGTGGCTCACATTCTCAATCCTTGGTATGAAATTAGATGCCAGATCCAATGTTGTGAGTTTCACCTGAAAATATTCAATAAAATTGTATTTTTATTTCTAAAAACATCAGAGTGAAACTTTATAAAAATTTTCAAGGAATATTGAATTCATATAATTACAGGTTATTTCTAAAAAATGATATCAGAGTTGAGACTCGACGTCCTTAATTTTACTGCATAGTAAAAGTGAACAGATGTGTAACTACTGGTACCTTCAAAGACTGTAGCTCGTTTGTTTCAGCTATCCCTCCACATTTATTAGAAAGAAGTTATTCACAAATGTTATTTATGAAATGCTTTCTTTTTTATTGAAATCTCATTTCATAAAAACCGTTTTCCATCCAGCATTCAATCCGCGTGCCATTATATCTGTCAAAACAGGATACGAAATGCGCTTTATAAACTCCAAACCGGAACGGTAACAAGTCGACCTCCGAGATACGGAAAAAAAATTAATGCGTATATTTTTTAAATTATTTCATTTCACTTCTTTTTTATTTCATAATCATTCATCATTAATTTTCATTTCATTTTCAATCCAAAATTTAATTGGTATTGCGCATTTAACATAATGATGTTACATACATGTATGCATCCATATTACGGCTGATGCAATGGTCGTGCATGTCGTTAATTTGAAATGCATTTTTACCACAATTTTAAGTTCAATTGAATTCATTGTGTATATTGTTCATTGTTATTAAGTTTTTTTTTTTTACAAAATGTTTAAGTTTTGTTAGATTTCAATACAAATAAACGGTCGTACATTTACGCAAAATTGAGAAGATTAACCAATGATAATTACCCAATCTGAAATTAAACAATTAATGCATTAGAGATGCCGAGCGGGGCCTTTCCTCTACAAACACATTTTTACTGAGCAGTGTGTAATCAAAACATGGGTGTGAAATGTGTGAATTTCTGACGACGTCGAGTTACATGGAGTCGTCTGTGCGTGACGAGCGACCAGCTGACAAACAATTAGGTTAAGTAGAGCAGAAAATTGCACTGATGTCGACATATACCAGGTAAATTTTGCTCTTGGGACTGTGAAATACGTCGAGATAAGCAGGGTAGTCGACATTACCGAGGTCGACATATCAAATTTATATAGTAAATAATGCCGGGACCACAGACGGACGTCGACATATCCCAGGTTGTCGACATATCCGATGTCGAGATACCGAAGTTTACCTGTATGTCAAATGAAGCAAAAAGTTACATGTATATTTCATTTTAAACCAATGAAATTGTCAACTTTATAGTTAGTTTTCCAACTACCATTTTGCAAATATCTTCAAAAAATATCACCAGATCATGAACTCACATTGGCCTCTAAACCTTCAACCTTTTCGATTCCATTGTGACTTGCATAGAATTCTTCCAAGTTCACAAGCTTGTCTAGGCCTTCTATTCTTCGTATCCTGTTACTCTATCAAAAGAAAGCAAATAAAGATCATAATTTAGTATTTATAACTTAAAAATATTCACTGACTATAATAGCCTGACATAAAATAGAACATACCTGAATGCTTAGACAGCGTAGATTGACTAATGTGTCGAGTCCCTGAATTCTTGTGATTTTGTTCTTTCCTACGTAGAGGTGGGTTAGATTTGTCAGAGTGGATATACCCTCTAATGTCTAAAATATAGAAGTACATATATTTTCATGAAATAGTTTATTTTATAAATGTTTCATTTCCTAGAGATTTTCAAGCAAACATCATATTATGGAAAATTTAAGTCTATCATTTAAATGGCAATAAAAAAAATAATGTGAAAAACCACACAGAGTCTATTTAATGCTACACACCCTGATTTTGTTGGACCCAAGCTCTAACATTTCCAGCTGCACCAGGTGACCTACATTCTCTATTTTGTGGATTTTGTTGTGTATGAGGAAGAGCTTTTTAAGTTTTGTCAGTGTGGCCAAACCTTCAATTTTTGGAATTCTGTTAAATGACAAGTCCAGTGATCTGAAAAATAATGATACCTCCCAGTTAGAGCCATCTGTACATATAGTATTATACAATTTTTTTGTGATACTCTGTTAGTGAGCAAAAACTACAACCTTAATTCCAACATGACAAATCAATTTATGCAAGCTTTGCATTAACTAACAATAATTGACATAACAGATTTAGCAGTTAGAGTAAAACAACTTACTCTAAATTGACTAATGCCTCCAGGTGTTCAATCTTTGTGATCTGGTTGTCGTAGAGGTCAAGGTCAGTCAAGGCAACAACCTCATTTAATCCTTCTATTTTCTTGATCAGGTTTTGACGTAAACAGAGACTCTGTAAATCAAGATCATGATGGACCATGGTTTAATATTTCTTCTGTAGCCAAAGTTAAGACACTGTTTATAAATTTGTGCTTTTAATATGGTTCTAGAAGTGCCTTACCTCACATTGTGACAGTCCATGTAAATTGCTTATCTTAGCAATTCTGCTTTGGTTTAAATCAATAACCTGCAAATAAAATAATAAAATAACTTCAATAGGTAGAAAATCTTCAAAAAATGTAATTACAAGTATAATTCAGAACCTATTTAAATAATAAAAAGTCTATACAATCTAACATTCACCATCTCGCTGTTTTAGATTTTTAACCAATGCAATACCCCGAGTTGACCTTTTAGATTTATCTAATGATTTTTACATCAAACATGGTGATTGTTCTTTTCAAATTCCTCATTAGCATTGGAACACACAAAGCTGATCTTAATTCATGCACACAGGATACAATTTGGTTCAGAATAAAAATCAGTTATAGTTTCAGTAAAGGGGATGTTTCTGTAAAGGGGATGCTACCTATATGATTAAAGAAATATATGAAATACTTGTTGTAATAGTCTGCTTTTTTATTTACAAAACTATGACATCTGATTATCAGTAAAATCACATTAGAAGCAGTAACCGATTCCAACCAATGATTGATTATGAAAATTTACCAATATCCCACCACCACTACATACCACAGCAGCTCTGTCTTCTATGACCAGTTCCTTGGTCTCCCCCTTGTCAGGCTCTGGTTCGTCCTCCTCCCCACTAGACAGGAAGTGAGGTGGGGTCCGATGAACTGACTCGCTTAGCTTGGCCACTTTTGGATCCTCTGGAGATTTGGCTCTTTCTTCTGACATGTCTTAAGATGGAAGAAACTGTGTGAAATTTTTCTTACACCACTATACATCAGGTTGGGCACACACCCCCAAATGGTCATTTAACCCCCATTTGGTGGTCAATCGCCCATATCGGCGTCTTTATTACCTACCAAATGGGAGAGAAAAATCGTTTTGTTCAGTTCTCTGGAATGATGTGAAATGGCGCATAATTTCAACTCACGGGGAATAAAATATTGATATTTTTCTAGACTTTGAACGAAAAAAATCAGAATTTCAAAGCGGACTTTTTTGTGCAGTGTCGTTCAAATATTTAACAAAATCGTAACCTATGTAAACAAGTGTAACGTTTCTGTGTTTTAACTTAAAAAGAAAAATTCCCTCCATCTCGCGAGTAGTTGTATCTATCAATCGTGTTTATCACTTCATATTTCTGTCATCCGGGCAACCGATCAATTATCTTAACCAATTAAAAATGACGATCTTTTCCAAACTTGGGTCAAATGACTTATTTAACTACAGAGGCCCATTTATATATTTAGTGTTAATTTTCAAAAAGTAAAATAAGAGGAAGGGTAAGAATTCACTTTTATTTCGTTTATTTCGTATGCGATGGCTTTATTTTTTTACAAAAATACGATATGCAGTGAATTCATGATAAAATAATCGCTCGAAAACTATAATCTTGGAATAAAAACAAGAATAATTGCAAATGTCACTTTGTAAATCTTTTATTCAAAAATATTTAATAAATATAGTAGATACATCATAGATATGCATACTAAACCACAAAGGGTCACACAGAAATCGTAACTTCATCCTAAAAGAGAATAAAGAATAAATGTTACATTCAAATGTAGAAAAAATGAATATTATAGCAATAAGTGCCCACCATACGAATAAGATACGAGGAGCTCGTGTCTAACGGGATTTTATAGAGATTTAAATAGACTGACGCAGATTATAAGATCATTTGAAAAGTTACTTCTCTAGACTAAGACCTCTTGTTTAAATATATTTTTTACCGAACAATACACAACAAAATAATTTTTCTTATTGTTTGAGCAAATAGTTCGGCGGTCACGAACAACTGTGGCTTTCATTTTTACGAAGTTCCAAAGAAATTCCACATGGAAAATTGACTAAACTGTATTAAATGTGCGAAGAATATGTTAATTAAAATTCCCCAATACCTAAGTAAATGCGCTTTTGCTTTATTTAAATAAAAATTGGATTTGAATAAAAAAGACCACCATTTGGTAGGTAAAAAGACGACGATATGGGCGATTGACCACCAAACGGGGGTTAAATGACCATTTGGGGTGTGTGCCCAACCTGATACATGGCTCCACTTCTAAGTGATATTTTCATACCAATAATTTAATACAATGCTCTCTATCAATATAAATGTTTTTCTTATAAAAGTATGATCACCAATATTATTAAATTGAAAAGTGTTTATGTTAAACTATATGTCATTCGGCTCTGTATGGTTTCAATGAAATAAGCACTTACCGGTTGTAACTTTGTTTCTCCTTTCTCAAATATTTTCTGATAATATTTTTTAGGATGTCGATCCCGAGCAAAATAATTAAAACTACGACATACCGAAAGGTTATACATTTCCAGACTAAAGAGTCAATAGATTTTATCCAAAAGGAAATTGTAACATGTAACATTAAATATCACTCATCAATGTCCCAAATTTCACCTAAATGTATATGGTGTTCATGACAGTCAAGAAGTCTAAATATTTCTTTTCACTGATTAAAAAAAAAATCAACTTGATAAGATCATTTTGCATGGAATTTTCTTTATCAACAAAGGTATGAGAAATATTAATAATGTCAAGAATTTGTGATGTGAAATACAAGTATGAACCTCCCCATAGTCTTCTCAACGTACTAGGCACATAGCATCGGGGGGAGGGGGGGTCGCCCACCGCCCCCAACTTTTTTTCTTTAAACATTACTTTTTACCATAGAAAATGTTAATTGAAAGACTTGTTGGCCTGCAAATTTTTGTTGCAGTGCAGAAAATCAAGGTAAAGCCAGGGAAATGTATAATAATACAAGAGGCCCACGGGCCTTATAGGTCACCTGAGTATCATGCAACAACTTTCCAGTGATTGTATTTGGTTCGTGTTTTAATCCAAAAGCCATGAAATTCACAAATTTGGAAAGAGGCACCATTGCTTAACAAAGGGCAGATTTCAAAGCATTAATTTATTTTTAGTTAAAGTACCCCCCTGGTACCTCTGACCCAGCGTCCCTGAAATTATCTATTTTGAAAGAGGCCCCTTTCTTCATTACAAGGCCAGCATTTTTTTTTTATGTTTAGGTTTAGTTATGAACATGAGAATAAAAATGTTCTGAATGAGAAGAAAATAATTTTTTTTTTTGTTAAATCAATTATTATTATTTGTACATTCTTTTTTTTATACCATTCTGATAGGCTTTTTACCACTGGACACATAATGCTTACAAATATGAAAGTAGAACATTGCTTATTTCATCATCTGCCAGTTTGGGCCAGTTATATAAATTTTGTGATGTTGGTCAATATGTATGTAAAAAAATCAATTCTTTAAATGTCTTTCAATATATCTTCATTTTTTGATATGTGTTAGGTGAATGTGTAGGCATTGTTCTAAAATTTACTTGATGCCTAAAATTATATAATTCCTATCATAAAACAGACAGTGAGTATTAGGGAGTAGGGTGAACATTTTTTCAATTAAGTGTAAAATAATTTAACTGGCTGATGCAAATGATACTTCATGCCTGTATATATTTGTATATTTTTGCCTTTTAATAGTTGAATTTTTTCTTTATTTCTTCAGGTTATTGTTTATTTCTTCCTCAAATGGACTCAAATTCTCCCATAGTTTTATTCATTACATATGATGCATAAGCAATTAACCCTTTTCTGAAGAATGATGCTTAGACTGTAAGCTATAACAGAGATCTAAACAATGTCTCTGACAATATGCAATAGCTACCACTGGCAGTTTAAAACCTGGGGGAGGAAAATAATTTACAGAGAAATACTTTTGAAACTAACACATAATTATCTCACCGGCATGTCATTGTGCAACAAAGTCTCAGCATTTTATTTGTCCTTTGAACGGGTGAAACGTTTTGAATGGCACTGGAATCGATGAATTTTACACTTAACCAAGCTATCTTCTTAGATAGATCTAGCATTATTTACCCGCCGTTTCATCTTAAAACCGGAAGTGCGACTTTGTAGATTTGAAATCTCGATCCCGACTCAAATTTGAGTCATCGGATAGAAAAAATTGTTTTATTTTTTCTGAAAATTCTAAACCTTGAGCGGAGGGTTTATAAAACTGAAAATAAAATAAATCCTGGCCTTAAGTATGTAATTAGATCATTAGCATATTAACCAGGAGCAAAGGATAAGATGTTCAAAGAATTCATGCATTTCACTATATAATCATTAGAGCCCCACCCTAAAACAAGAACCCTTGACCCTGGGGCCATAAAATTCACAATTTTTGTAGAGGCAATCTTGCTCATCATAACTATGTACTTAGTTAGTTTATTTAATACCCAGGAGCAGAGAAGAAGATTTTCAAAGAAATAATGTATTTTCACTATATAATCAATAGAGCCTCGCCCTAACACCAGAACCCTTGACCCTGGGGCCATAAAATTCACAATTTTGGTAGAGGCACTCTTGCTCATCATAACTATGTACTTAGTTGGTTTATTTAATACCCAGGAGCAGAGAAGAAGATTTTCAAAGAAATAATGCATTTTCACTACCTACTTATTTAGCCCCGCCCTAACACTAGAACCCCTGACCCCAGGGCCATGAATTTCACAATTTTGGTAGAGGACTCATTGCTGATTACAATCATGCAAACAGATTGACTGCTTGATGTCCAGGAGTAAAGAAGAAGATTTTTAAAGATTGCATTAATTTTAGTGGTTTTGGCCCCACCCCTCAGGCCCCAGGGGGGCAGGGATCATGAAATTCACAATTTTTGTTCCCCTTCACCCATACATGCTTTGTGCCAAATATGGTTAAAATTGGTTCAGTGGTTTCAGAGAAGAAGCTGAAAATGTTCAAATGTTAACACACGACGCACGACGCACGACGGACGACGGACGACGCACGACGACGGACGAAAACAGATAGCAATAGGTCACCTGAGTTTACTCAGGTGACCTAAAAAAGGCTTCCAAAAAAGGTTGGAACCTAAAAACAAATACTTAAAATATGCAACCAGAAATTTAGCTATTATTTTTATTGTTTTAGTTGTTGCAAGTCATGCTTAAATAAAAATGTTTAAAACGGAGAAGTGCATTTAACATGTCATATGAATGCCCCTGTTTACATTTTATTGATTTTGTTTTTCAGAGTTTATTACATGTTTTTAAAATATTCACCACTATGGATGACTTTTAAAACAAATGAAAAAGGTATTCTAAACGGGCAAAAAAGTTTGATTTTTTCTGTACTCACAAAAATGTCCCATGTTAATTTAAGACAGTGTTTCTTATCTTTATATAACAGTTAAACAAATACCACAGATTTTGATATTTGATAAAGGAACATTGATTTATCAGTTTTTTAACTGTACACGAACTTCGGATTTCCCTTATCTCAAAAACTCTGCATAAACACAACAAAGTCGCCGGGACAAAAATCGAACATTAGCAAAATGCCAAAAGGGACAGTACTTCCTTGATATATTTTTTCCGTGAAAATGGTGACTTAATCGAAATCATAAAAGTCAGTAAAAATGGACTGTCTAATATTGGTACTAAGTCTGTTTACAGTCTTTAATAGTGTCCACTCTGTGTTTGGATTTCTTCCTTCGTTTGAGAGTACGAGAGGAAGGCCTGATTTTACTCATGCCAGAATAACAGAGGACGGGATCTACAAAGCTGTCGCTGATGTCATCATAGAAAAAGTTAAACCCGGAACCTACCATACCAACAGTCACACGGACAAAGTGAAAGAATATTTCAAGTCGGGTAACACTTATTCGAACTACAAGTAGCCTTATTTATGGAATATATATATATAATATAAATATTTTTTTTCATTTTTTGTTTAAATTAACATATATACGTATATTTCTAAAAATCATTCTTGCAGATAATTTGGGATTTTTACACTTTGAGAAAGTTGTTGAATATATTGTGGACAGAGTAAATTTGGCACAAAGGCAGTATGGTACAGATGCTTCTAGAACTATGAACTGTGAACAGATTTTATCAGGTAAAATGAAAACAAATTAGGATACTTTATTCTGAACATTATAAACATTGTAAAATGGAAATAACAATATCTGATAGATATTTTCTCTCTCTCTCTCTTAAATAAAAATACGAATGGCGCAAAACACTAATAATACTCGTCAAAACACCTTTTTAACGTGGTACCGCCATTCCAGTGCACTTCAACTATTGCAATTTTTAAAAATATTAATGTGTGATTCGGTATAATACAGTGTATATATTCAAATAAAGATTTAGGACACAACGTATTTACATATAACAATTTAAACACATCTATAGCAGATTTGGGGAGTAAAATGTTTTTCTTCCATATTTAATTAAATCCTTAAATATTAACCAAAAGTTTTTAATCCTTTTCATTCGATTGCCTGAAAGTAAAAAGATACCAAAATACAGTGTACCCTCGATTTATTGCCCAAGGCAGAACGCTATATCAGTGCACTATCAAATCCGTAGAACTTATGAAGTGTTAGTCAGCAAAGGAAATCCTCTGGAATATGACAAAAATAAGTGCCATAAAAGTATAACATGAAGCATTCCAAAGCCCAAAGTTATTAATATAAAATAGATTATACACAAATACAATTTTTATAAAACAGCAATGAATACCACCTACGTAATACATATTAGTATATCATTTATTATCTATACACCCAACAGCACGTGGGCAATTATATTTCAATTCACCATTTAAGGAAATCTCTTGCTCCAATCCCTGAAGTTCAGGATCATTCAGACCTCACAAGCCCCGTCCACTGACTGGGGCCCAGTACGGGGTCTGCTGGGGGAGTATTTGTTCACCATTCAGGAGTTCTACAGTAACACTAACTGGGTGGAAATGTTCGGCAACGTCAGCTGTAGAGAGCTAGGTAGGAGACGGTGTTACTCGAATAGTACAGTAAAACTCATTTAGTACGAACACGAATATAGCCAAGTTTTAGTGGATCCCCAAATATATAAATTTTATTAATCATTTAAACAGGTATAACGAATAAAAGATATAACAAAGTAATATCACAAGCCCCATTGACTTCATTATGACCGAGTTTTACTGTATATATATTTGCCATCGATGATGCGAAGAGTTTCAATTTAGTAGGTGCGTAATATAAATAGAATGAATATTGAATGATTATGTTTTTGTTTAGGCACAAAAGATCAATTACCTTTAAAAATCTCCACAGAAAAAGAAGCTACTTGTTTCAGCTGCAATTATTCCAAAGATGCGTATGTTTGTTAAGCTTTTCATTGTCCTTTTGGTTTTCTTCACCTTTTTAAAAAAAAAATATTTTCTTTTTGAATTTCAGCGGTACACTTGTAGTCAATAATTCCTCAAAAGACTATATGTCATAAAAAGATATACTGTACATGTAAATACATAAATTTATTTAACTTCTTTTACAGTCTCCTTGCCAGTTCTTGTGCTAGAAACCTTGTGCAAAACAGACAGCTTACAAGTGGCTATACATCAGACCAAAACATCGTCAAACCATTCCGTATGTAAAATTTGATAAAAACACACACACACACGTTATATTTCATCATTCAGGGTTTATCATTCCTTTAATTCATTTCTATAAAAACCGGTTGCATAAGTGATAATAAGGAATTTTCAATAGAAATCTAACTTTTAATTCAAATGCAAATGCCTTAGCATACCTTGCAGTGAAAAATTAAAAAACTTTATCCATCCCAAGGAGAGAAAGGAAGAAAAATCCGTTAAATCTCTCTTTTTTAAAGGATAGGGTCTTATTTAATCTAGGTAGGGCAAACTATATATTTTCGAAAGCCTAATTTTCTGTTTCCATGTCAGCTAAAAAATATCCAAGCTCTCTCTCTCTCTCTCTCTCTCTCTCTAAATAATGAAATTTTATGAATTCTTTCCAATTAATTACTCTTAAAAGATTTATAAAAATAGGGATCGTAATCAAATATGGTACTAACTAAAAGTTAGAGTTCTGTCTTGACATCGCAAAGAAGAAAGCTATCAATATTATGAAAATGGGGGAAAAAATTTACTACAATTAATTCACAACTTCATTTTAAATTTACGCAGATCTTTAAAATATATAATATCAAATTTTCGGTTTCAATTAATAATTGTATATATTCAGTCTGAATTATCCATGCTTCCTGGACAAGTTGAGTGTTAAGTTTCTCTCAGACACTGGATATGGTGATTCAAATCCCCGAAGTCTAACTGTATATACTCACTGAAAAAAAAAATTAACCACAAAGTATCATGTTCACAAGCAAAATTATAGATATTTTTATAGTTATAAGTAAAACAATAAATAAACATTTTCTTTTATCACATTAGAACTTTGGGCTATTCATTCATTATACAGACAGTATTTCAGAATTCAGAAGAAATCCAGGCTACAGAAATCAAATTTGTACATTATATCAGGAATCGTTAGCATACTAGTATATAGGTCCCTGTTTATATGTAGTAGGAAACGACCACAGTTTTCATAGATTTTTTTTCCCAATAAGTCTAATATTATTTAATCTCACATTTTCTATTTTCTCTTGTGGTTTTACGATACAAAAGTGTGCATGAATTTAAAGGTACTTAGAAACTGTTCAAAAGTTGCGTCGGGTTGACGACTAAAGCCGCAGGATTACAGAACACAATATTCAGATAGGAAATTTTCGCTTTCTAATAGTGTATGTTGCATAAAAATATTTCGATTACAGGATCTCTTTCCTTTGACATACATGATGTTTTGTTAATCTTCAAAATGTAAGCTTTCCTGTGATAGGTCAATGTCGTTAATTCCTTAAAATTACATTGCCATGCATAAAAGGGGAAACCCCGAATCCAGTTTTAGCACAACTTCGACCCGGTTAATTTTTAATACAAACTTTTCAGAATGACATAACACACACATCATACGAAAGTTCAAACAATGAAGAAAAATTCATTATATTTAATTTCTAGATAAATATGAATAATGATGCAAAAAATACGTTTATAAACACCAATAAATTCCGTGTAAATGGCACAATTACATAGCTAAGTCGGGTTACCTGAACCCCCTAATACCTTGCAGTGAAAAATTCATCCATCCCAAGGAGAGTTATCTCTCTTATCATAGGGTCAACGAACCTTAAAGCTCTCTCTCTCTCTCTCTCTCTCTCTCTTCGTAAGAGTGATTATAATTTACAATTTGCTTTTAACAGAGAACTTTCCTGCCGACACTGGTAAGTGTAGTCCACCCTTACGTAAAGATATCCCAGCGACAATCAAGTCTGATCCCGGATTATCTCCCCATTATCATCTGCATCAAACCGCGGGGCAGGCGGCAGTTCAGGCGACATATGATGTTATGGTCGGAAAAGGTGTAAAAATGCTCAAAAGAATCGAATGTACACTTAAAAATATTGCGGGTCATAATTAACCGTCTTTTACATTGTAAACACTGTGAACAGAAACAAATCTTGCGTGATACATATGAGATTTGTTTAAAGAAGCAACAGCATATTTCAAGGACACATATTGTTAATAAGTTGTCTTTTTCTTGGCATCGAAATAACAAAAAGATATGAAAATCAAGTCTTTCCTATGTTACTGTTCAAAGCAAAGGGCCGTTATAATTGAAAAAAAAATCCGAGAAGTCTCCACAAAAGCATCCAATCCACGACACTGGGAAAGCAAAATGCATATGAAATCAATGCGTTGGTGTTGTTTTTTTTATTAAATATCATATTTTGAAATCTTGGTGTATTTTAGATACAGGTTTGCTGTCCATAATCGGTTTAGATAAAACCCTGAGTCTGCTAGGGATGGATTATAAAAATCCATGTTACAGCTGTTTGTCTCCCTCGCTTTCTGTCGTGTTCGTGATAGACGACACGGGATCCATGAGTCAGGAAATACTGGAGACAAGTACGCGTAGCATCTCCATCGTCAACCAGGCGCAAACCTCTACTGCGCCATTCAATTATATCTTGTCAACCTTCAATGATCCAGGTTTGTTATGTACTATACAATTAGACACAAAAATCATAAAAGTATCAAGTCAAAAAGCAATTGAGATCGAACAGTATTGTGGGAGTTTTACAGTTTAACACGCATAGAGTGTATCCGCTTAATCCAAAACACCTGATTTTACATGTATTGTATATGTTATAACAGAAACAAGCCTTTTCGTAACGACCAGCGGGGAGGAAATGAAGAAACAGTTGCAGTCGCTGAGGGCTAACGGTGGCGGAGATTGTCCAGAGATGGCGCTACACGGAATGATTAATGGTAAGAAACCTTTAAATACCTAAGCTAATATAGTTCTGTTATAAAGAGCCCATGAAACTGTTAACTGTTGAACAATTTATATTTCGCAGCCATGAAAATCGCTCAGCCCGGATCGTGTGTTTTCTTTTTTACGGACGCTGATGCCAAGGACCCTGAACTTCTGCCTGACGTCATACAGCTGATAAACACCCGAGGTCTCCGTCTGCTACAGTTTCTGAGAGGGAACTGTTCCTCTCCTGCTTCTAGTGGCGGATCACACCACCTGACCAGAAGATCTGCTTTCAATAATCACGATGTTCAGTGTATACCCAATGAGAAAACTAGTAATCGCCATGCAGGTAAAAGAAAGCGTAAAATCATAAAATTATTCTAGAATTCAATCTTGCATTGAAAGTGGATGAGATAGAATTATATGCTAATTAAAATGTAATCTGATGTGCAAATTACATTTTCCTGTGTGCAGTTCAATGGTTGCTCCTGTTTTGCCATTGTTGCAAAAACTAGTGGTTCAATCGAAGCTTATAAATAAAAGACCCAAATGTATGCTTCAAGCCTTTTTTGCAGATTTTGGTACATATCAGTATAAAATGCATGAATGAAATAATACATGCACTACAATATTTGTATTTTATGATCTATTGTTTTTGGAGATTTTAAATGTGCAATTCTAACACTAGTGATAATTCTCGTTCGATTTGATTCAAAGATACGTTCAATTTTCAGTACTAATCTTTATCAAATTTTATCTACCAAAGGAAGAAGAAAACGAAATTCCCGTAGTGTTTTTGAAAAGATTGCTCTTGACACTTTTGCACATACGATACATACTTCACATTCCACCATAGGGGATACCTTTGGACAAATAATCCAGGTATGACTGAACACTTCAGTGACATTAAGTCTAAACTGTCTGTGTAGATTCAAGAGAAAAAATAAAAGTCTATATTTTATCCAAAAACAATATAGTCACAAAAAGTGTTATATGTTTACTGTAGAAGAAACAACTTATTTATTTTATTACTTTTAATACTAACCTAAGACTGTTGTTCCATGAGATACATAGTTACCTTATCGACGACAGTCCTTCAACAAAGACAATTCTGGACTGCTTTTGCTGCGTTGTGCCAGGTCATGTACAGCACCCTTAATTTTGCCTCCATGTTGCGCCTCCATGTGTTTCTTGGATGTCCTCTCTTTCTCTTGCTTTGCGTATGGTTCTGAGCAATGGCTTCCTTAGGGTCCCTGTGTGTCCAGTTCATCCCAGCTAGCTTCCTTCGTCTGATTTGCTAGTATTATGGTCCCTGTCCTTCTCTCTTGCATATCTCTTCATTTGGGATCCTTTCAGGCTATCAACTGTTGAAAGATGCGCGTAAAAGAGGTGTTGTAGAAGGCCTGGATCTTCTGCAGAGTTGATTTGGTCCTTCTTAATGCTTCTATTCCTTACAGAAAGACGGATTTAAAATTGGAGGATCCATAGTTTCTTTGGTTTGTTTATTTATTGTTTCACGTCTCTTTCTCAATTAAAAATGGTAATTTCCATTACAGATATATCCAGGAGAGCGGATTACAAATTTGGATATTTTTCTTGAAAAATACGTTAATGGTAACCTAACAACCAAGTTATATGATAAACGTGGTTTGTTTTCTTTCGTTTCTCTTATTGATATACCTTCATCACCTGCATACACTCTCAGTTGATTCGATACGCGAGAGCATGCTCTACGTATGAACAATTTCTAAAAACGAAGTAAATCATTGACAAGCAAGTTGATGAAACAAGAATATCAGCAGTCTCGTTTAAAGTCATCATTTCGTAAATTCAATGGTCGATACAATGACCTTGTCAGCAAATACAATTTATCATTGAGTTAAATGCTGATAATTTGTTTGTCCATTATTTATACACTGAATTGACGAGGGATTTTTCCGTTATTTCACTATCATTACAATGAGCACACGGCGGGTCTCATCCTCCTCCATGGATTAGATGTTTCTTGTTTGCAGCTCCTATTTTGTATTGTTTTATGGACTTTGATATTGAATACTGTTTGTTATCTCAATATCCTTCTTTCTCAAGAAGTTTTCACTTATATGGAGACTCCAAATTTGCGCTGCAATTTAGCACTGCCCAACAATGGCAGTAAAGAACCATTTATGCAGTTTGCAACACTTGACCTCGATCTCATCCTAAAGAAATGTTATCATGTCCAGCAGTAGGATTGCAATGTAAGGATAACTTCTACTTAAGAGCAAATGCTTTAACGTCTTTTCTGCAGCAATGAAAAAACAGCCTTGTCAATTCTTGACTTGATGTCATGGTTTTTGCCACGCTTTATGTCCACCACATTCACCAGGTAAACAGAACAACCAATTCTCTTATAGGCTCACCACCCAACTGCATGTGCTTGGTAATTGGAGAGTGGAGTTAATCTTTATCGATTTAGCTTTCTTCAATGTTTATCTTGTGTCCAATTCGGCCTTTCCTGCTTATGATGTTACAAGGCGAGTTGTTTTATCCTGCATCTGAATGGTTATGTGAAAAGAGAGCTAGGTCACTGGCAAAAACGAGATCGACTAGTTGCGTCATGAATGCCCATTGTTCCTAAATGATATAGTCCTTATGATCCAGTCAATATCCAAGAGAAAGAGGAACAGCAAAAATCCTTATCGAACGCTTGCCTTAATCTCAAAACTTTCGAACATCTGTCCTGCATATCATGCCTTGTTAGGTGTTTCTAATCAGAGAAACGGGCTTTTCAGGTACCCCTAAGTGCCCCAGTATCTTCCACAATGTATCTCGGTCCACACTGTGGAACGCTTTCTCGTAGTCGACGAAGGTGTAATAGAGGGAGGACTTCCATTCCAATGATTGTTCAGTAATGATGTACAGACTGGCTAACTGGTCAGTACATGATGTCGCGTCTAAAACAAGCCTTCTGGCCACGAAGCTTTGACTCTAATGTCCTTTTCATTCAACTTTTTGAAATGTTTTATGTTGTGTACTTTTGTCAGACAATGCCAGGAACACGATTCCCCGGCAATTCTTCAAATCTCCTTTTTGGCAGCTTAATAATAAAGCGATTTTATATTCCTCTGGAATATTCTTTTCCTCCCAAATCTTTCTCAAAAGATTATTCATGATGTAAACAGCTATCTACGCGTCCGCTTCGATGGCTTCTACTGGTATCTTGTCAGACCTTGTCACTTTTTTTTTCCTTTTCCGCGGATTTCTGTTTAATGTAATTAAATGCCTTACATTTATATATTACTTTCCGCGGAAAAATTGTGTAGTAAAATAATACCACGTACTTATACAGTATATTAATTCATTAAATGATGTAATTAGTCTTCTCGAGTATTCTTCAGTTCCCTAGGCCTTAAACGAGCTCACTTTTGATTTCAGTATCACTTTTTCACGATTAATTTCTTTGGTAAAAGTGAAACTGAGGTCAAAAAGTTAGCGCATCTAAGTGTTATGGCCCCTAAGCGTGATCTCTGTCTTTGTTGCATTTCGTAGTTAATTGGAAGGTGTGTTATCAGCTGGTTGTATGTCCGAGGGTGTTTTGGTGTTGGCATATTAACGGTAAATAGCTATTCAAATTGGTTTAACTTTTAACCGTCACAGTAGCTCAGTCAGTAAAGCGCTCGCTCTGTGTTCGTGAGTTCAAATCTCGGCCACGATTGACCTCAGTCAATATAAAATTGGTAGCAACTGTTTCTTCGGCACATTTGAGTGAAAGTTGCCGATCCTTCGGACGAGACCTAATAAATCAAGGCCCCGTTTCACGGTAGACGTTGGCACGATAAAGATTCCTCACAGCTCAATGGCTGTTAGCGCCGAGTAAAGGTAAAAATTTGAAGCCCTTCTTCGGTATATGCATAGTGACGTCTCTATATGAGTGAAATATTCTCAAATGGGACGTTAAACGATAAACATTCGATTAAAAATATTTAACCAATCTCTTCAATTGTTCTTCTTTTGTTTGTGAGGGTTCTCGTTCTAGTTCTTCAATAACAGATGTTACTGCCTGATGAAAAACTTTTTTGTGGCCATGTTCAGCTTGTGGATGAGATCCCGTTTATCTTTCCTGATGCCTTTCTTAACTTCGTTTTCTGTTGCTGTTGAGTCCTCTTGAGCTTTTGTATTTGCTGCTCTTGTTCAGCTTTTGTTCAGAACCGCTTTCTTTTCCTCCTTAACATTCAGTTTCCTCATAGCATCAACACAGGTCTACCGGTACCCTTTATGTTGATCCTTTTTTTTTCTACTAAAGACTTCTTCACACGTGACTCGCCCTATTTCTTTGATGTGCTGACACTGGGTCTCGATGTTGGTATTGTTTTTCTAACTGATCTTATTGCAGCTAGAATCTGTTGAACAGGCTAAATTAAGTGTTATGCTGTCTTCCTTTCCTATAAATGTTTTGACACCCACGCTGTACCTTGTCCTCATGTTTGTAGTATTGTTAATCTTCTTGTGGCGTACATCGGTCATGGTAGCCAAGTGGTGAACGTTCGCTTCGTGATCGGGAGGCCCGGGTTCGATTTTCGTTTGCAGCGCCGCGTCAAACCTAACACGCAAACATATGTTGTGACTGTTCCTTCGCCAAGCGCTCGGCATGAGACGTGAAATCATGGATCTTTCGGATATGAAATTAAAAACGTAAGTCCTGTGTCACGGTAGGTGCCTGTACGATAAAGGACCCTCACTCCTCAATGGCCCTGAGTGCCGAGTATAGCTCTAAATATGAAGCCCTTCGCATGCATACGGTAACGCCTCTATATGAGAGAAAAATTCTCCAATGGACGTTAAACAATATACAATACAATATTGAGGCGTAGTCTTACTGCCGTCATCAGCAGTATGGTGGTCTTATGAAATTTCTGCTCTCCTAACCACGTTGACATCTTTCATACTCTGTAAAATTTCTTGCTGACGTAAATAATTTAATTTTGTTTATATTCTTGCCTCTCATTGGTTGCTTTCCAAAAAGGAAGCAAAATATTTTGTATAATCTGGTTTGGTATGTTGTCATTAATCATCTTATCCATGCAGTAATCCATGGAAATTTCAAGATTTAATAACTGTATCTTTAACTTCAAACACTTACTCGATCTTATCTCATGTAAACACACATCATGGCTGCTGGATCTATGTATCAGTTATTACTTCCCTTCGCTTCACATCACTTCCGTTACTTCCGTTACTACGGTAAATTTGAACTCGTAAAAAGCAACACAATTTCACATCCAAAGTTGTTAAATTATTTTAAAATTAAATTATATAATTGATAAAATCTGGTTCACATCCAAAGTTTAAATTATTTTAAAATTAAATTATGGAACAGGGAATATGGCGCTGAATCCATTTATACTCGATAATTTGGCCAAGAATTAGAGTCATTCCTTAAATATACCTGTAATTAATCTGATTTTCTGAAACAGGGAATATGACGTGAATCAATTTATGAGGGAAGATGTTTCTTCTATTAGAAGTTAACGAAGGAAGCATTGATCTGCAAATCTCTCGTCGTTTTCGTTCATGTAGCCCAGTTCTTGTGTGTACATGCCTTCATTGTAGTTAGTGGTAATGTCAGCTTCAATCGTTGCATTGTCTGTTTTGTTGTTTAAAGTCCCTCTCGAGAATTTTCATTCATATGGAGACGCCACCACATGCCAGTGGAGAGCTGCAAATTTTGTCCTATACTCGGCATTTAGGGCCATTGTCTGAGCAGTGAGGGATCATTTTCATGCCAACACCTGCTACGACACGGGACCTCGGTTTATATGGTCTCATCCTAAGGACCGTCTCCATGTCTCACAATGGGATTAAACCTCGCGACGCAAGGATCAACTCCTTTCTTCGCGATTCTAGGGCAGACACTCTATCTACGCAGTAGACTCTTGGCATTGAAGTCACCCATAAGTATTGTCAGATCTTTTTTTTATCCTTCATCCATGACTGCCTTTAGCTACGGGCAAAGGCGTCTTTCTTTCCGTCAATAGCGCCATAACTCTGAATGGTGTTCATTTGATTTTGCTTTTTTTGGAGTTTAACTTAGCTGTTAAAATTGTTAGGTTTCCATCCGAAAAGAGTGTATTGTGTCTGCAGGGATTGCATCAGGCCTAATACCCTCGGTGTGGGAGGCGTTGTGTCCTGAATGCATAATACAATGTTTCTTCGGAGATAAACCTCAGCTATCCTGTCTTTAGCAATCTCACTCTTAGAAGACAAATATTGTAGTGTTTACTTTTGTATGTCCTTCCTGTGTCATATATTCCAAGTTACAAGTCTGCAGCTTCCCTTTGACTTTTATTGCACATTATCATAGATTTCCTTGAAGGAGACAGAAACTTGCACAGGCTATGTGATTTTGGTTTGTTTTTGATACGTCTCTAACTTGACTTTTTATATAGGTAGAGTTGTAAGCCGTGTACAGACCTCTTAATAACCTCTTGGAAAGGTGGTTTGATTTTGGAGTTCTCTTCCTAGACTGCTTTGCATCCTTGGGTATTGAGCAGAGTCCGCCCATTCGGTTTTATATTAATGATTTTCTTCACTGATCTTTTCGATAAGTGGGCAGTACGTATGGACTGAAGGTTTGGAAGTTTAGAATCTAAGTTTTCCTTCTCCTGGATGATCTGTCCTCTCGAACTCAAGTCCCATCTACCCAGAGCACTAGCTTTCGGGCGCCATGTCCCCTTCTCCTGTCAGTAGTGGCAGTTCCATTTGGTTTAATGCAAGGCACATGACCAGGCTAGGAGCACTGCTTGTCAGAGATTGATGGAGGAATACACAATGAGGAACGTTTGATAGACGAATAGAGTTTATACACCTATTGCCATTGCTTGGACAATCTTTGGAGCCTTATTCATTTTATTAGCAATCATAATTGAACGAGAAAAAAAACTATTTATGTATTATTATACATGTACAAATTGTATATTAATTTTCGATATATGTTTCCAGCAAAATATGCACATACAGACACTAGGCGTGAACTCGTTTGATATGGTCGGAGATGCCCAGTCCTTTCCCGTGGATCCTTGTCTGTCTCTGTTCACAGTCAAGCTAGAGGGATATGGATGTTCTAATGTCGCTCTGGTTCGCCCGGACGGTGAGGGATTTAATATATATTTTTTTATTATGTTTAAAAATATAAATTACATAACAATAACAATAATTAAAAAAAGGAAAATTAAAAGCAAAGGTTGGCAATACGATTTCATTGTTACCAATAAATTTGAAGAAACATCATAAAAGCAACTTTCTTATCAAACTCCCGATGTCTTTGTTATTTCTAGGTTCAAACCAAGCCTTCGCGGGAAAATCATCCAAAGACATTATAGACGGGAAAACAACTATTCTTTCCGTTCATGTGAGGATAGTTTTTTTTTCAGAAAAAAATCCGGGGGGGGGGGGGGATTGAGATTTCATCGGTGGATAAATTTCTAATGTATATACATGTATAACTAAACAAACGTAATCGGTGTTAAATGATTCAGTTTCTTTTTAGAGTCCTTCAAGTGGTATGTGGCAAATAAAGAACTTGGATAAAAAACACTGTCACGTCACAATCTCGGGAAGTGGATCCATTGACTTTACATACAAGATAATGGAAGACATACGAGGCCTAAAGTATCCAATCAGTGGAACTAGTCCTGTTGCAGGTTTTTATTTTCAGATTATGAGAAAATATCTAATTTCCCAATGATAGAAATCTAGATACTAGTACATGTAATGTATAATTATGGATTATATGTATCAGTCCAAAACAGTCAAAGTAGGCGTTATGTGAACGAAATCTCCAATAAACTTAGAAATTTTCTTTAATTAATTGAATTTCCAGCACATTTCAGTGAACTTGTAGTTTAATGCAAAACAATAGTTTGTAAACATACAAGATAATGGAAGACATACGAGGCCTACAGGTTGTTATTTTCAGAAACTTGTACACTTTTTTTTATTTCAGTGAACTTGTAGTTTAATGCAAAATGTACACATTTTTTTTATTTAGAGTGTATCTGTAAAAGGAATACCTACAAATTTCACAATGCGTACCAACATCACAGAAATTTACCTAAAGAAATCTGATGGTCAATTGATTTCGTCACTTCTTGTGACAGATTCATCCGGTGGTACCACAAGATCCGTTTTCACCGAAGTCACTTTGTTAGAGGTACTCTAGTGATCCATGTGTTTAGAAAATTATTAAATGAAATATCATTGTGAAATTCCTATTTTTCAATTTGCATTATGCACATGTTATTTTTATATTGAAGCCATTTTACATAGGAATCAAAGGAATGATTGGCTCGGAAACAATGACTCGAGAAGATCAACATATTGTAACACCCATGAGGGGAACAATCGAATTTGTTCCTTCCTCAGGTAAATATTAAAATGATTGTAAAATATCCCTTTTCAATAAATGCATTTGGCAGATTTTCTTTCATTGCTTGTATTTATGAGAAAACTATTCATAAATTATAAATCATTTAACAGGTAGCAGTTAGAAAATATAAAATGTCTGTAAACAATTTAACAGATTCTAATTTAGAATTCTTACTTCATGCTAAAAAATCTCCGTACAAGACAGATTTCTATATTTTATGTGTGCAGAAAATCTTATGATTACCAAATCAATATAAACTAAAATTGTTTTTGCAGACCAGCTTCTGTACAATCAAAAAATCACAGTGAGTGTTAGAGTAACAAACGCGGGTATATCTCAGCAGACGTTCGAATTGTCAGCAACAGACACCGAGGGGTTTCTTACTGACGCAACCAAACAAGTGACCTTAAGCGGAAACCAGACGAAGACAGTTGATTTTCATCTAATAGCAATCCCAAATGCAACACACACGTTGGTCTTGTTATTTTAATTTCCAAATTGGATAACAATTAACTTTCATAAGTTAGAATACTAGTAATACATGAACAAATTATTTTGATTTGTAATGGCAAATATGAAAGATTTATATCAATGAAGGCAGAAGAAAGATATTACCATGCTAACTGTTATTTTATTTTTCCAAAGTAAGCTCACTGTGACTTTGGGTATCGAAGGAGCAATTTCTAAAATAGAAAAGTATTTAATGGTGAGATAAACTACAATTTATAAGTATATATTATCTGTATGAATTTTCTACCAACATTTCCTATGAATTGGTTTTTAATATCTTTTTGTCCTTTTATTCGAGGTGTTTTTACTTGGACATTTTCCATGTTTTCTTTTTGTTCAGGTTGCTGCTGTAAACCCACCTGAAATTCGAGTGACAAATCGCTCAGAAAATTGTGAAAAGGAGAATATGAACACATACAACTGTTCTCATCAAAACTGGGAGGCAGACATCAGTGTTTTCTTTTCTGCTAACATGACTGGTCTGTACTCGGTGTCCTCTGAAGTAACATTTACATACCAACAGGACAGCCGAGACAAAAATAAATATCTAGCTACCGTCAAGTAAGGTTTTGTAGCAAGCTTTCACTGAAAAATAAACATGCTTTTGTTTGTGTCTTTGCATACATCATGTATTTTTTTAATCAGGGGTAATTGTTGTACATATCAGACCTCAGTTACCGCCGTGGATTCAGCAGGGAATAGAAAAACCGTGCCAATAAATTTCTCAGGAGAGACCAAATTTACCATAGGGATAAACGGACGCAGTAAGGTAAGTGTTAGGTCAGAAATTTAGACACCCCCCCACCCCCAATTCAAGTTATATCCATTGTATCTTATTTCATGATGGCCATTTGTAATTCAATTATTATTCCGTACTAACTGGCAAGTAGCATTGTAACTCTCATTTGTATTGTTTAAAAAGACATTTGAGCTTTAAAACTGTTTGATATCTCCATATATACTTCATCAATGAAAAGTTCATTTTTTATAAAAGAAAGATAACTGTATTTTTCATACCGCTTTTGGTAGAAAAAAATGAAATGATTAAGTGACCAATATCAATAGACTTTGGGTGCTAAGTGATAATGTTTTTTTTTTTTTGTAGCGAACCAATAAAAGAAAACTTCAGTCAAAATCCAGTTCATTTACTCCATGGATAGCAATAGGTTCTGGGATAGCTGCGGCTGTGGCTCTCGGTGCTGCTGTACTTGCAGTCAAAAAATACAAGTCATTGCAAAACAAAGTTGATTCAGATTTTCCAGATATCATTTCGGATCAAATGCAAAATTCTAATTCTAATTCTGACAAAAACAGAAGAAAAATTTTCACATCGTTTTAACCATAATGATATGTCAGAATTTTTTGTCGTGGATGTTAAAATAAATTATTTTATCTGATTAGATAATCATATAAGATAATCTTACTGAATAAAAGTTTATTTAATATATTTTTTTAAAAATAAAATCACTGATTTAAAAAAAAAAGTAAAGCATCATTTTTTTTTTTATTATTTGCAACACATCAAGCAACACTTTACAATAGTAGTAACACTTACTTCAACATCAACAAATATTATATCAATATAACTCATTGCACATACGTAATCAGCATACACTGAATTTGACGTCATCTTCTATATATGGAATATTGTAATAATATACATATATGATCAGGAAAGCTTGCATATTATGATTATATAAAACTTTGAAAAGGAAGACCAGCAATTTCATATGTATAGCCAGACAATCCAATTTGATTGCGACTTTGTAAAGTAAGCTTTCGTTGAAAAGTTTTATTTATCATTAATATTCATTGTTGTTTTTCTTTAAAGGTAGTTTTTACCCTTTGTTATTATTGCACATTTAATCAAATATTTTTGTGATGCATATCATATGCAAGTACATGTATAATGTATAGCTGTGTGTATGTCTAGAATGCACATAATATGGCACATCGAAATGCATACAACGTATAAAAATAATAATAGATGGTAAGGCAAACTCACGTTTTAAACGTTCTTGATAGACAGGATGAATATTGCACTTTTTATAAAATGAACAGAATAACAGTGTAACACCCCGAGTAAAATTGTGGTGAATGTATATAGATGAATTGGGGAAGATATATTTCTACGTATGTTTATCTATGTAGTTTCGATCTCATCATCAATGTCCGTAACTGATTCTTGTGAATTAGATTTCATGAATAACCATTTCAGAGATGTAAATGCTCTTGTACATTGTTCCATTCCGTATGTAAATTTCTGAGTTTGGTTTTTGGTATCCTGTGTCACGGCACCAGTTGTGACTTTCTTCGCCGGAGTAGATCCTAACTGAGAAACTAACCAGTCAAATGCTTCTTCTATTCCTTCACCTGTCTTTGCAGAAACAGGAAATAAATCTAAAAAAAAAAATAACAGAATAAAATTATATTTTCAGATGCCTTGTCCCTTAACAATGAAACCATATTCAGGCAAAAGTTCCCTAATTATCAAACACAACCTTTCATTTTATATCAATTGAGAGGAAATAATAAAACGTACTCCAAACCCTTTTCAGTTGATTAAGTCTGAGTTTTTCTGTGATGTCCTCCATAGACATGACGTCATCAAGATCGGATTTATTGGCTAGAAAAAGATAGACCGTCTGGTTCAGTTCCGGTGACAGATTTGCCGGAAGTAGAATATCATGGTATAATTCGTCCATTCTTTCTTCATCACTCCGATCAAGGACAAATATAACAGCATCTGTACCTTTGTAGTAGAACCGAATCAGCGGCCGCTGTGACAAAAGAATAAATAACATAACGTCATGATTTATTTTTATATTTATCTCAGTTTGCTTTGAAGTGTTCACATTGGATTCTTTCTACAGATTGTCATTGACTTTGGAGCTTAACCTGCTATGAAATAAAATACCAGGTGGATCATTTCGCAGACTTGATGTCGATGCCTATTACATGCATGTTTGAATGTACAAACTACATACGTGTATTTCCCTTTTGGCTCTCAATACTTAGTGACGCTGATATAAGTCGAACACTGCTTACTAAGTACGTCTGTGGTTTGACATAAATCGTGACCCTGACATTATTATCTTGAACCAAATATCAAATTGAAGACAAAGATACACAAGTCCACAACCCATTTTCATCCTGCGTCTCAATTGCCCTCCTTACATGAACAAAACTGTTCTTACCATTTTCTCTCGACATCCGACGTCCCATGCCGTGAACCTTGTGTTTTTGTGTTGTATTGTCTCCACATTAAAACCTAGAACAAGAGGAAATACGTAGGTAAATGATTCATTTGTAAAACGTTACCCTTCTAAATATTATAAATAGTAAGAGGAACATTGGTGTTAACTATTTATATAAACGGAATGCACTTTGCTACATGATTCTATATTACGATGTCAAGCGTTAAATGTTAATTTTTAAGATACTTAAGATAGATGGCCCAACATAAAAATTGCATTAAATTTCTTGGCTTGGTGATTGTAACACTCGCAGACCATTTGTGAGAACCTAAGAATAACATAACCTTGGCTCAGATTTTCTTAGAAAAAATACATATACAATGTATAATTTTTTTTCATCTCTTGGTACATTCATACTGGACTTTCCGACAGATTTTACTGGTTCTCTGAAATGAGACCATTTTCGAATTTGCTTTAATTAACAAAATAAAAAGTGCTAAACAGACGATACCTATAGATGGTAGGGCGTCTATGACCTCTCCCAGTTTTATTCTGTATAGCAGAGTAGTCTTTCCGGCACCATCCAAACCTGAAAATGGGAACCAAAAGTAGGTCACTTTAAAGCTGTTGATTCCAATCTTTCATTTATATGCAGTAATATTAAAAGTATTATTCTTTTGAATAATTAAGTACAGGGTTGTTCTTGCACATCTCTTTAATTTAAAAATCTAAAAATGAATATATTCCTTCAAAAAATAAAATCGAATAATAAACATTTAATCAATCAAAATGGTTTAAGATTTTCAGACCGATCTAATGCTATACCACTTGTGAACAGTTTTCAGTTTGTGAAATGCACTAACGATTGCATACATAATACATGTACGTGTCTACTTGAGTAGTTATTATCAATAAGTGGTGCTTAATACATGTACACATGTTAAGAGCTTTTTTGAAAAAGGTCTATACGTGGGAAAACCGCATCTTCCATAACCTGTTGTCTCCTGTCTGATTTAATTCTGTACAATTACATATAATTAAAATGTTCTTGCAATCCCCTATAAGCAGACAATATAGGTAAATTGTACTCATATATCAGCTGCAACTGATTTGATTTTTTCATGTAATCCGAGGCTATTGTCATGTTCTAAATTTTGAATTTACCGGGTGTGAGTAAATACAAAATTTAGAACATGACACTTTCATAAAAGACACTAACTATAGTATCAGAGAAGGGGTTTGACGAGGTTTCTATCCTCCTCTCACCCCCATCCCCTTAATACATGTAGGTATACATTTTCAAAAATCTAAAACGATTCAATGCACAGATTATGTGCCTATCCTACTAAATAAAAAAAAGAGTTCTAGGCAGTAGAATAGAAATGTGGATGATTGATTTTGTGAATATTAAAGCTTTTAGACGTAAAATCCGACTAAAGGGTCCTTGATTTTCTTTTTAAGATTTGAGGAAATTATAAGAGGTGTATTTATTGCATAGGGAAGCTGCTAAGTGCAAAATTTGGTCATAAATTTTTAATGAGTAAAAATAAGAAAGTGAGGATCTCTAAAAATGCTTGTAAGGAAGCTACACACAAGGATAAAAAAAATGTTTTAGAATTTTAAGGAAAAAAATTAGGAAGATTCATACATGTCGAGTGTATCTTTTTCATTTTCAACATGCAATAGAAAAAGATGTCAGAAAAACAACGAAGTATAATTCAGTGGAAATCACAATATATACTTAGATTGGGAAAATACGTACAAATAATGTTTTCAATTACTTTATTATGATCTAGCATAAAAATGTCATGAATACTTTCTTTTTTAACAGACTGTGTCATTTACAACATACATGTATAAATCCTTTTACGTCATTCTACCTCAGATAATTTCTTTTTAGTCATTTTAAATATATAGACATAAAAAACAACACATTGTTGTTTTCTTTAATTTAGCAGTAAAATCATACACGTATGTTCATAAATAGCAAAAATAATGTATAATAATTTCATTTAGATGAATGTTTTGCTTTTATCTAGCTTGGTGAGGTCTGTGCTTTGTTTTTTTTCCCCCGAATATTGTGGCTTTCAATTATCTCAGTTTTGGTTATTTTGATGGCAATATGATTCACTCGCCTACTAGTCTTTTGTGATGCATTTCCCCGGGAAAACAGATGGTGCTTTATACCTTGTGTAATAAAGCTTGGTATAAGAAAAAAACAATCTGGTGAATAGATCTACACACTTTCTCTTTAAAGTTCAAGAACATGTTTATATCATTCTTCAGAACGACCACAAGCATTCTGCGTGAATAAAAACGAATGTGATTTTAATATGCATGCCACTCATTTCTTGCAAGAAACGATATCGATATAGCGGAATCGGTGAATATTACATAATTTATTTTTTTTTATTTTATAAAAATAATTTTTCCCAGCTGGTAAGCGAAGGCGAATTACCATTGACACGTGAGTTACAGACACGTCAGAGAATATCCTGTAAAATAAACGATAATCAATGATGAATTTTACCATTACATCGGTATTTAATTCGGCGCAAGACTGTATATTGAATCATCATTGGGTTTAAAGCATTGTGTGTATCATATGAGACTAAGCATCTGCTAGAACATTCTCACAGAACCAATTTCTATATTGATTACCAAATTTTATATAATGAACAAGTCTGAACTTTCAAAATAATATTCATAAGAAAAAATATATATGATGCTCTGTATCGACGGCAGATGGGCAATGTATAAAGCAAGGGATGAACATGTGGATAATTTGTTGCGAGTCTAATCTTTCCTGTATACACCTGATAGATGAGTGTACATTAATTGTTTGTATCTGAGTCTCCTGCACAACCAATAACAACATTCCAGAGACACTTTATCACGTGCATTGATCAATAACTACAGGCTCAAAGAAGCAACAGGAAGAAATACTCGGAGATCTGTGGACTCTGATATCTTTAAATATCAAATACTTCTTCAATACGTTTTATAAAGGTACAATGGGGTCTTTTCTTCTCTCATTTATTATCACCTTTATTAAACACTAATCAATTAGGAAGTACACAATTCTTCCTTGATAAACTTTATTGAGATTGCACATGCATTTATAAATGGTTAAAAAAAACTAAAGCATTGAAAACCAGTGACATTAATTTTGATACTATTAGCATATAACTGAAAAAAATGTATTTTGTATCAATTTTATTTGTGTATATATGAGCAGGTATCCTCAAAAAAGTAATAATATGATGCCAATGTTGATTAACTTGATATCCTTAACCTATATTTCGATTTAGATTATAAATTAATTTAAAAAAAAAGAAAACTTGAAATTTGCTTGAATAAACTTGCATGATAAAGTATATAGGTATTCTAACCATATAAACGTTAATTTACATAATATCATGATGAATCATATAAAGTGTATAACATTGCATAACTAACCATAATTTCCTTAATCATTGAATAAATTACTAAAATGTACTCACCACATATCAGTATTCGAACATCCCTCGTTTTAAACACCCGTGTCCAAATATTACCCATGAGAAATATATATTTAATTAAAGTGTATTATACGCATCTCTGAATTCTCTCATCCTTCCCCATGCGTGTGCTGGCATTTCTAATGTAAACAGAAATGACGTGTTTTGTATTGATTACCTGCTTCCGAGAGTTCTGTTCGAGAGCTACTTGAAACGGCGGGAAAATTCAATAGCAAGAGTTTGTCATCTGGTTATGAGGGGTACTGACAAAATTAAGAAGCATTATTAAATATAACTCAAATATCACCCCTCCCCCAAAAGAACAGAAAAGCAAACCAATTTGAGCACGCAGAGACAAAGATCTGGTTCATTTTGGGATACAGTGAAACTGGATTATAAAGAACCCAAATAGTAGGAAATTCTTGATTATTGTAAGGATTTTTTTATGAATCCCCTCGACGACTCTCCACTTTATTCCTTAAACTGAGGTTCAGAATATCGGTTATACGGAAGTATAATTCGAAGTTCCAGTGACTTACACGTAGTACTAATGTAATGATAGCATTGCACATTTTTAAAGCAATGAACTGCTGGACATAGGAACTTTTTTAACGATTTTGGTCAAACATTAAGTAATGGTGGATCCAGGATTCTTTAAAACGGGGTCTTAACAAGTCGAGGTTCTCCTTCACGGTTCAGACCAAAGCCCTAGTTGGAGCCAAGGGACAAAGTCACAGTTTTTTTTCTTATGACCTGTTTTCAAAGTCGTAAAAAATATCAATCATTTTGTAATAACCTTAAATCAATCGTGAACTTAGTGTTGTCCAGCTAGGTAGTTGCAACACTGTAGCTCTCTGAAAAATATATCAACAGACCGGAGAGCTACAGTGCCACCCATTGAAAAAAGTGTACATCTAATGCACACAAAAAGTACGCTGTTTCGATCTTGATTTATTTCTCAATGTTTTTCAAACCGCCATCTCAAAATATTACTAAGTGTGTTCCTAACATATTCTTGTACACTATTTTCACAATAAAACATTCCTTATAACCCTTGTAAATAGCCCTCCTGAGCCTCAAATGGAAATCATCGAAATTGTTGCCAGTGTACACGGCCATTTTGGACGGCAAGACAATTTGACCACACGCACTTCACGCAAATATGAAATATAAGGGTTTAGTTGATAGGGTCAAAGGAATATTTTGGCAGTTTTTTCTATGGCTGGCACTGTAGCTCTCTGTTCATCCATCCCAATTTTTTCAGATCAGTGAGCAACAGATCTGCAGCTATATCCAACTAGACACTAATGCTGCATAATGTTGAAGGCCACTTGCGTTTGCCGGACCCAAGAAGAAAGATGTTCCTTCAGGCCTTTACTAAGTCCCTACTTTTTATATTCATGTATCTATATATCTTGAACTGGCTTCCATTTTTTGCGATAAATGATATGTGGCACCCAATCCTGTTTTTTTACACAACAGGGTTTTTTTATGCGACGGGATAAGATTTAGCTCACAATGTACAATGTACGTCAAAACATTCATAGAGGTCTAACTCAGCGGTCAACCATCGCACTTTTTTCTTGAACCCTCGGTAAAACACATCGTCTCAAGCCACGGTTTGGAGTCCGCTTTTAGCTCACGGCTCACGTACATATTAGCCGCAATTTGCGACAATGGGTAAAATATTGGAAACACATTTTTGGTCGGACTCAAGGGTCGTTAGGCTGAAGGCGAAGTGTTCGGTTAGAGGGGTCGAAAAAACTTTCGCCCAAAAACAGTCAATAAATACTCTTTTATACCCTTTACTTTCGAGATACATGTGAATTACATTAGCTTCTATGTTTTTCGATAATTAATATGACTGATACAGCCCGTGTGTGACGTAAAAATGTCATAGCGGTCCAATATTTATCTTTTGTTTGGATCGCATCGCAACGCACTGGCTATGTACGAGTATGGCTTATTGCACATTATATAGGAAACATTTTTAAAAGTATAACAAATGTTTTTACGCACTGAGGCAAAGTGTGTATCATAACAGTGGCATAACTTTTGGTAACATCTATGTACAACTGTACATACAGTATCGCCATTTATATACTTATTTCTAGAATTCGCCCAAGTTAGCCAGACAGCGCATGCTACATATTAAGCAGAGTTTCTCTATAAAAAAATCTGAACTATACATCAAGTGCATTATTGCATATATACTCAGTAAAATATGGAGGCCAGTGGTTTACCTATAGACTAGTATACAGGTGTACCTAATTCATCATTTATGAAATTAGTGTGACAGGGTCTAGATTTTAAGCCCTGTCTAGGGTTTAAGCCCTTCACTGCTATACCATTTCTCTCTACATGAGAGAAAATTTCTTGATTGAGATGCAAAACAAGCAAAAAATTAAATCAACAAGAAACACTGATTAAACAAAATTTTTAATTTCAATTTTTAAAAAACCCAAACAATCCATTAACTTGTTCATAGCAAAAGTTCGTGAAAAAAAGTGAAAATAAATACGACTTGCATGTATAACAAAATGACAATTTAAATTAAAAGTCTACAATTCATATCAAAACAATGGCAGTTACAGTTCTCCGAATACATTTGTTAAATAACAGTACAAAAAAAATAAATAAGTAATTTAAAAAAAGGAAAATTAATGCAATTGAATTTCATTTTGAAAATCAATTTCTGCATTTTTTAAGTACAAAACACAACTGCTGTAATATGGTTCTGCTTGAAACCTTTAAATAAAATATCCAGTTCATTTTGCTACTACAAAGTTTTCTTGTAACACCTATGTCTGGTTTAATATACCAATCAGACATTTCAACACATAACAGTAGTTTGGCTATTACTGTGTTGATGCAAAACAACCAATTGTGGAGATCCTATATATATGTATGCTGTACCTCATGCACCAACTCTGTGAAATCTTAAGACTATCTAAAGCTTCCATCTTAACTCTATAGCATATAATAATGTCGACATTATTTTTGTGCCACACAAGGATAAGCATGTCACTACTTTTGAAAGTCTAAATTGTAACTGAAAATGTATTTTCAATTATAAGCAAAATTAATAACAAAGACCTTTTTCAAACTCTCTCAGATTTCACAAAATCAAAAGCCTATTACATGCATGGGTATCATAAATTCTGTAGCCCAATTTTATCCCATATTTAAACAAACTTGAATAAACAGTGTAATGAAGCTTTCAAAAAAAGTTTATCTTTTCTGGCCCACTGGATATATATATTAAAGTTGCCAATGTTTACAGACAGATGGGTGCTGGACAAATGTACTGAGCCAATTATGCCAACTAATAACAAGAGGCCCAGGGGCCACATCGCTCACCTGAGCAATTTGCTAGGAATAAGCACATATCAGATCCCTACTGAAAGTTTACTGAGTTTGGGGGGAAAGGGGGGGGGGGGGGGAGAGGGGGCTTACATGAATTTTAACCTCATAGGGGGTCATGGTTTGAACAAACATGAATTTACACTACCTGAGGATGATTCCATAAAAATATCACTAAGCATGGATTTGAAGTTCTTGAAAAGATTTTAAAAGGTTTCTCTATATATTCCTATGTAAAACTTTGATCGTTCATTTTGGCCCCACCCTACCCTCTGGGGTCATGATTTGAAAACTTGAATCTACGCTACCTGAGGATGATTCCACATGAGTTTCATCTTTCCTGGCCTAGTGGTTCTGGAGAAGAAGATTTTAAAAGATTTTTCCTGTAAATTCCTATGCAAAACTTTGATCGTTCATTTTGGCCCCACCCTTGCCCTGGGGGTCATGATTTGAACAAACTTGAATCTATGCTACCCGAGGATGATTCCACATGAGTTTTATCTTTCCTGGCCTAGTGGTTCAGGAGGAGAAGATTTTTAAAGATTTTTCCTATATATTCCTATGTAAAACTTGGGTCGGCCATTTTGACCCCACCCTTGCCCCGGGGGTCATGATTTGAACAAACTTGAATCTACGCTACTTGGGATATAAATTTTTATCCATACTGAATATTGTGTCAAATTTATAAATGAGGATGATTCCACATGAGTTTCATCTTTCCTGGCCTAGTGGTTCTGGAGGAGAAGATTTTTAAAGACTTTTCCTATATATTCCTATGTAAAACTTGGGTCGGCCATTTTGACCCCACCCTTGCCCCGGGGGTCATGATTTGAACAAACTTGAATCTACACTACCTGAGGATGATTCCACATGAGTTTCATCTTTCCTGGCCTAGTGGTTCTGAAGGAGAAGATTTTTAAAGATTTTTCCTATATATTCCTATGTAAAACTTGGGTCGGCCATTTTGGCCCCACCCTTGCCCCGGGGGTCATGATTTGAACAAACTTGAATCTACACTACCTGAGGATGATTCCTTATGAGTTTCATCTTTCCTGGCCTAGTGGTTCTGGAGGAGAAGATTTTTAAAGATTTTTCCTATATATTCCTATGTAAAACTTGGGTCGGCCATTTTGGCCCCATCCTTGCCCCGGGGGTCATGATTTGAACAAACTTGAATCTACACTACCTGAGGATGATTCAACATGAGTTTCATCTTTCCTGGCCTAGTGGTTCTGGAGAAGAAGATGTTTAAAAGATTTTTCCTATATATTCCTATGTAAAAATTGGGTCGGCCATTTTGGCCCCACCCTTGCCCCGGGGGTCATGATTTGAACAAACTTGAATCTACACTACCTGAGGATGATTCCACATGAGTTTCATCTTTCCTGGCCCAGTGGTTCTTGAGAAGAAGATTTTTAAAAAATGCCATTTATTTTTAATAAATTCATGATTATCTCCCCTTGGAAAAGGACTTGGCCCTTTATTTGAACAAATTTAAATCCCCTTCACCCAAGGATACTCTGTACCAAGTTTGGTTGAAATTGGCCCAGTGGTTCTTGAGAAGAAGATGAAAATGTGAAAAGTTTACAACGACGACGACGACGACAACGACGACAACGACGACTACAACGACAGACAACGGACAAATTGTGATCAGAAAAGCTCACTTGAGCCTTTGGCTCAGGTGAGCTAAAAATGTTTTGTGACTTACTCAATATCTAAACTACTTCTAGACAATTTTGGCAGAGAGCTAATTGTTCAAGTCTTGTAAACAGTTTGCTTAGAGGTACTTGAGTATAGAATAGGGATGTCAACGAGTATCCGGTTAACCAGGTACTCGATCGAACGTCTGAGTATCGAATACTAAAACTGGTACTTGGTTACTCGGATGTATATTTTTTCTTATTCCAAAGTACATATATTTATCAAAAAACTTATGAAAAATTAACTTAAACATGCATATGATGATTACTAAATTAGAGTACCGTCGCCTTCACCTGTAAAACACCAGTTATCACCTGTGGCTGAATATATACAGTAATTAGTGACCAATTACCTGCTTTTCTCACCTTTTGCGGTCCTTAATTTTTGGATGGTTTCAATGATTTGTTTTCGTTGAGGATCGTTTAAGTATTTTCTGTTTTCTTTAAATCATATTTGAATTATTTAGTAAATTGTACCGTAATCTGACATGCATAGGAATGCCGCTACCGACTTAAAAATATAAAGAAAATTATATTTTGATAATACATGTAAGTGAAGATTGAAAAAAAATGTTTAAAGTCAGCTATGCGGAGTAAATTTAGCGTATACAGGGGATATAATAATAATACACAACAAGGGATCCCAACAATGTCTGTTCCTTCTGTTTCATTAATGTGATTATTACATACGTAGCAGATTGATTAAAGCATCTTCCCCCCAAAAAATATTGTATATCATTTGAAAGTATTAGTGTATCAAATTGATGTCTTTCCTGTGTGTGTATTTTTAAAATAAAATAAATAAATAAAATTAAGTACAATAAATTATTTTCGTTGGACTTGATTTTTATAAGCATGCACTAAAAACATAAAAAAGCAACATTGGGGTTTAATACAGCTTAACTGCATTTACAATTTTACCGAGTACCCGGGTACTCGAACGGAAAAACGTCTGAGTAACCGATTATCAAAAATTGACTGATTTGACATCCCTAGTATAAAATGTATAAATAGAAATAATCAAAGACTTTTTTGTTTAACTCATGTCAATAATCTCGCATTGTGAACTTTGGCAGGTCTTACATCTAACGCCAAATCCTTAATACTGATTTATAATGACTAGTCCTGTGTGTTTTCATCAGGAGACTTTGGCTATATAAATTGCTAATGCAATGTTTCCTATGACACTCGCTCCAAGGATAAATCCCACAAAGCCTGGGCTCTTCAAGAACTCTCCTGCAACACAAAAAATATTAATGTTAATAATCTTATCGTTGTAAATCATCGCAAAATGTACAATCCTCTCCCATTCTGCTCATGGTCAAATGAGAAAAAGATATCTCGTATCTTAATATAAACAATTGTTTATGGTAAACCAAATTTTATTCACGTGCGAGAAATAACTGAGAGTTTCACGTTTTACTTTAAGTTGCGAATATAAATTGCCACAAACCATTTATTTTGCTTTGTGTTTGTAGAGAATATTTTCTTAATCGTGAAAATTAATCGTCGCAGATTGATTTCATACTAACGATTCGCGAATAAAAGATGATGCGAATAATAGTTGGTTTACAATACTCCACCGACTACTTACTTATAGATAAGCCTGCTGTCTGTTTTGTGGTGCTGTCCACTGGACACACCGAGGTCTGGTGACTAGACTCACTGTCATCCGAGTACCGCTCAGAGTTCTCAGTCTGTGACAACTGTTTAGACTGGAATTTCCTGAGAACACTAGAGTTAATGCTGCTCTCAGTCAGCCTAGGGGAAGTAAAGCTGGAGTTAACAGTCGACAGGGAGCCTCTCTTCTGTGATGAGTGAGGTAGAAAAAGGTTCTTTGATTCTGCCAGCAGATGAGAACCTTGACTTACAGAGAACTGGCTTTTTGGCTTTGTTGCTGAAATCACAATGTGCTAGTCAATACATCATATAAATCAACTTGAATTGTAGGCCATATGTGCACATTTATGAATATATTTATACTATACTGTTATTCAGGGATAAAAATATAATCCAACCTGAATCTTTGCACTCTACATCAAGGGGTCATAATTTCAAATTTTTGACAAAGGGCTAAGTGTTCTTTAGAATTATATTAAATTGAACTGAAATCCAAAAACAACATGGGAGATGATTTAATCCAAGGATGTGTTGTGCCACTTTTGGTTGAAATTAATCCAGTGGTTCTGGAGAAGTAGTAAATGTGAAAGTTGATGAGGACGACCATAATGACACACAAAAGGCAAATTCTGATCAGAAAAGCTCACTCAAGCTTTCAAGCTAAAATGGAGAGACACAAGAACACAAATTGTCACTTAATGTGGCTAACATACCTTGGAATTTTTTGGGAGTTGAAGACCTATTCTGCAGTGAAAACTTGAGTTTGGCAGGACTGATCAGTGGTCTCTTCTCCCTGAGGGCTTGAGCTATAGATGAGTTTGAGAAGTTAGAAGGAACATGACTGGAATTTGTGAAGGAACTGCTGAAAAGTCCTGCAATGACAGAGGAACATGGTTAATATAATCTGATAATTTTACTTTCCTTTCATTAAATATATTTTTGTCGTTCTGGAATTGCTATACTAAATATCTTTGTTTATATATATGCTAATAAATTTATGAAACAATAATACACATATTTTGTATTTAAGGGGGGTCCTACCATTTTGTGCCTGACTTCCAGGCTGTCCCAGAGACACAGCTTCCAGCTCTGACAGGGTGTCATCCAGATCAACCTGATCTTCCTCCATGACCTCTGACCTCTCCTGATCTCCCACCTGACTGGCCGAGTAGAGCACAGTGCTCCTAGATGTGTCAGAGGGACACGATGAAGACTTACTCAAATCTAGGGAAAGCCTGAAAACAAAACCAAATATGTGTTTGAAAGTCTTATAAATTGTGAGACAATTTCACTAAATTCTGTTTTGCAATTTCATTTATAAGAAAGAGGGGAACAAGCATTCTCTCTGTTTAAATTAGGGATGTCAAAATTGTCAATAATAAATAATTGAGTATTCGAATATATATATGTGAATATTCGATAAAATAAATACATTTTGCTTTATTAAGTATATATCTTCACTCTCCTGTCAAGCATTATAGGTTTTATGCCATTATTTTAGAATAAAAACTCATGTAGAGTTCAGAAAATGCACTACAATTATATATATTTTTTAAGATTATGAAATAGCACACATCCAAAATGTAATGATTGATTTTTTAAAATTCAAAAGATTCTTTAATATTTGCAGATTAATTGATCGTCTTACTAAAGTCTACATTGAAAACTTCTACAAATTTATACCAAGCAGAACAATTATCTAAGGGTGAAATATTAAAAGAGATTACGTTTTGCTAATTATAATTTTCTGATAATTATTTTAATGATATTTTCATAAACAAGAAGTCGGTGTGTTTACTTAAAACGGGGTCCTTACAACAATGCAGGTTGATTGTTAGTACTGGAAACTATTATACCACTGATTAAGTAAACAAAAAAATAAATTACTCTAATAGATACACTCTTCACACCTTTAAGGTAATCCAAGAGGAGTGTTTTTTTAAAAAAAATTTACAAACTTGATTCAATTTCTGATTAAACTTGCCAGGTTTTTCTCTCTTCTTAATGTTTGTATACTTAAAAACGAATATTCGAATCACAAATGTATATTCGAATATCAACCCATCGAATGAATATTCGAATATTCGTTGACATCCCTAGTTTAAATAAAAGTCCTTTCAGCTGACTCGCCATTCTACATCAATATACCTTCGTATACTGATACTGGGTGCTGTTCTGGATTTTCTGCCAGATATACAACACAGGGATGAGACCACTAAATTACAGAAGAGAAGCACAGGCTCGGCCTTTACAACGACAGGTGTAGCAGAGGTTCCTTGCTGAATGAAGAGAACACTGAGCCACACTGGGATCTGTAGGGCATCTGACAGGCACAGTCTGAAAGTTAAAGAAACCTTTGTAATACACATAAATATTAAATGCTCACTTTTGCCCAATTTTATTTAAATTCCAAAGCCAAATCATACTACAGATAATATAAGACATATCTTCATTTTTGGTAAATTTTGTATAATTTTCATATTTACCTGTTTTTCCCAACTGCAATTTTATCTATGATACTGGAAAAAAGGCCAATCACTCCGATCAATCTCTTATGTTCATTAATACTGGTTAAACATAGTGTTAAATAGTCACTGTGTCGTAGATATTGCCTGAGGTCTAAGATACTGCTGAGGCAGACAAAGAACAAGAGAAGACTACACACTGCAGAAACCACCTCCATGATGCGTCCCACTATCACAGTCCTGTGGACAGCCCTTCCTGGAACCTGTTCACAAATAGGAGAAATATATCCTAATATGAAACTTATTAAAGTTTCAGTGATCAAATGAAAAATAAACAATAAAAGACAATATGGGAAAATGAAAATAAAGAAAGATAAATTCATAAGGATTGTCATAATAAATATATAATTTAAAATTAAATAATTTAAATTTTTGATAACTCAATAAGTAGCTCTAAGTACTATGTTAAAGCACAATGATTCTCCCTAAAGCAGTGTTACTGCCCAGGGCTGCCAGCTGGAGACCATTCTCACACCAGGTGGTGTCAAATCAGAGAGTGTGTCAGTATTGTCTGATTGTCCTAATATTTATAATTATAGTGTAAAGTATGTGTCTGTGGACACAATAAAACACCTGGTGTGTGGCGTGAATTTTATCAGCTTAAAACATTTTCTTTGTGTGTTCTTTGCTATTTAGAGATCAAAATTAAAGGGGGGAGGTCATTACTTGTATCTGTGAATCCTCTGTTGGCAGTGGTGAAGTTTCACTGTAATAATTATCCAACTTCTCCTGCAGAAGTTCATCCTGTTTGAACAGTTCTTTGTTGACCACAGTCTGACAATCTGGACAAAGTCTATAGAGTTTCTCTAAATATCTCTCAAACTCTGTCACTTCTGTATCAAAGTTAGCCTTAAAAAAAGACATTTTTCAATTTTATTAGTTCAAAATAGAATGCAAAGTGTACTTAGATATTGTTAGTTTTCATGGTGAATAAAAGTATCATCACAAAGTTAGAAGTTAAAAACAACTTCAAGGAAGACAACTCAGGTAAGTGTTACAGTGTACCCATAACAGGGATGGGGCACATAACATCTCAAAAAATCTTTATTTTATTTTGCCCTGATACTGGTAAATGCTGTTAAGCTTCGTCTTTAATTATCTTAAATTCTATACATTCAGCGATATGCATATTAATGTACACATAACGCACTTAGATCTGTACCTCATTCATGGGAACAAATGCAGCCAGCTGTTTAGTTTTCAACAGCTGATTTCTGGAACATTTTTCACAAAGGACGTCAGTTTTACTGATGAAATCACTCTGTACACAGGACACAGGGTGGTTCAGGTCTCCATTGTACTGAGTGGGTATTGGTTTATTGTAATCACCATCCTGTGTAAAGAACAAAGATAACATTTATTAAATTAGAATATCTGAACTTTAAAAAAAAAGTCATTAAATACAAAATGCTCCTCTCAAAATACATTTTTATCAAATCTAATAAAAATATGATTCTGCTTTTTAAATTTTGTTTTAACCTTCACTTTCCTGGGATGTGATGAAATATATATGTGCATAACATTGTTCTTCTTTATATTTGCTGTCAGTGTTGACAAAACCTGACTGTGTAGGAATTTCAAAAAAATTGTGTGAATAGGATTTAGTAATATGTTTCTACAGAACTGTGAATTTTATATCATCAGGAAGTGGGCCTGTGTAATAAATTTCCTTCTTTACGTAATCCCTTGCAAAAACAACACACATACTGATATAGTTTTGTTGTCATCTTTAGGTGTTAATATTTCACTGTTAGACAAAAATCAACATCTAAGATTATAAATAAGTCCATCATCAGTAAAATTTATACTTTTTTGGGATTTTCAATAATAATGTAAACTAACAAACCTTATTGAAACCATTATACTGCTGGCAGGAAGGACAGTCCCAGCAATTCCTGTTACCATAGGGAACAACTGTATCATCACTACAGAACCAACAGTTCACTCTCACAGGGTAACGAGGCCTATGACATATACCACAATTGGATTAAAGTACAGTTCTTAAAATAGTTTGCTGTGTATATGATATATTTTTCTTTATATTCAATGCAAAACGATTTTGTATCAATATCTGCAGAGACTTGATTAACAAAAGATTTGCAAATGACCAATGTCTCATGATCAGCCAGGGCACAGTGTTTGGTTTTCGGAAGTTTCGAATTCTAGCAGTTTAAACCATATAGATCTGTAGAACACTCAAGGATAATGATATTCAGTAATTTACATTTATAATTTAAAATATGCTATCAACAGCTGAGCTCCAGTACAACCATTAGATCTAGTACGTAAGTAGAATTACCTACGTAGCTTTATTTACCTACTGTACCCCAGGTAGCTTTATTTAGTTATTTCAATGCAACTTTTCAAAATTTTTCTTTTCATTAAAATTGATTTGTAGCTAAATGAAGCTACCTTAGATAGGTAAATAAAGCTAAGTAGGTAAATCAAGCTACGTACGGTAGCTAAATGTAGTGATTGTACCAGACCTGATCAAAATCTGAGACATATAAAATCCATTCGGTTTTATATGAAATGAACATTTATATTTACCTTACATACTTATACACAGCAAATGACACGATAATAATAATCAAGAAAACTGCTAATATTAAGTAATGCGTGCAGAAAGTAAATGGCATTTGCATGGCACTCAAGTTCACCACATGTCAGCGGGAAAAAATAGTACAGCATTCCGAACCCGACGTTATTTCCATTGACGAAATAAAAAAGTTCACAGAAATTAAGAAAGTTCACCTAAATTCTTAATTAGATACCAGTAATATGCCACATGATTGATAATATTTTACTGTTGTGAAATATATTTTTTGAATTCAATAATTAATCGATTTAAATTATTTATTAATTGTTTGATCAGAAGAATTGTGTGCCACATCATGCTCAGGTCCCAATTAACAGACTGCTGACAACAAAATTATACTAATACAATATAAATCAATATCTGTCAGTCTTAGTGCTACGATTCAATTATCAGATAAAGAACTGCTAAAGTCATATAATGAGTCATATACTGGCTTACCTAGAAATTTCATAACAGAAGGGGGCGAGGGGGAGGGCCACTACGCTAACCCGATTCACGTTAAACCTGTTGATTTTCTTCAGCCGATTTTTCCCTCATGTATTCCTTTGTAAACCTTTAACCAAAATGGTGGCCCCATCCAATCTACGATGCCATGATTTGAATAAACTTGCATTTAAATCTACACTATCTGAGGATGCTAACTAATTCATATAAATATGAGCAACCATGGCCTTGGCGTTCTTCATAGAAAAAAGTTTTAAAGATTGTCCCCATGCATTCAAGGATGTAAAACATTAATTGATAGCCCATTAATTGTACTCAACACCACACTGTAGTTGCAGACAATTTTTACAATAGCGATGCAAGTAGAACAGTCGTACTTTTATAACATCCAAAAAATTCTCAAACATCCTATACTGGGTGTAAACACTTTACATTGGTCGCAATTTACTGGTTTCTCACTTTCAAGACCTCTCCTTGGGTTTAATTTTTTTTATCTTCTAACATTGACCTTAGAGTTTACCCACTTTTTAAAAAACTTGAATCTTGACCTGAACTTCAAGACCTTCCCTTAGATACCAGCGAATATTTGACTTTGTGACACTGACCTAAAAAAGTTTAGACTTACTTTAGAAAAAAAAACTAATACTGGCTATAACTTTTGAACAGTTGAGCTAGGGCTTTTACATTTCACATGTATATTTCGTGACCCTCCCCTGCATGGGTACCATCAATTTGTACTCTTTAAACTTGATCTTGGAATTTGACCTACTTTTATTAACCTTGGCCATAACTTTTGAACAGTTTGTGCAAGGACTTTCATATTTCATATGTATTTGAGTTTTACCACAGGCTGTGATAGGAGGGCATAAGTGTTCCACAAACACATCTTGTTTACTCAAGTATATATTCCTTGGGATAAAATCTTTCTTTGGACACCACCATTTTTTCAGTGAAACTTCTGACCTTGAAATTAGACCTATATTTGAAGAAAAAAACTTTAACCTTCAGCTGCTGCTGTTATGGGGGCCGTTAGTGTTTCTCAAACTTTTTCTTTCAAATATATAAATGAAAATATTGCTCATCAAATATATTTATTACTTTTTTATGTCGTAAATTTGAAAATTTACTAGATTGGGGTAAATGCAAAATTTACAACATAATAACAGATATCATGTCATAAAATGTACATTTACCTCCACCTAGTACATTGTATATCTGAAATTTACAACAAGATACTTTAACATTATTAACACTCTTCATAATATACTAGTAAGTAAATTCGTTTTGATATTTTAATTCCTTGCAAATAAATATTCAACAAATAAAACACAATACGAGCAAAAAGTCAAACACAGGACTTAAAACCTATCAAACCATTCAAGGTCAAGGTCTGTAAATAAAATCAAGTGATGCAACAAATCTATTTCAAAAATTAACTAGTGGGGGGACCGTTAGTGTTTCTCAAACATTTTCTCTCATATATATAAATAAGAAAACTTTATGCATTTGCTTTAACATCAAATATATTTCATTCAAATTTTAGCATTGCACATGTGCGCATATGAATGTACGTGAAATTTACTAGTTTACTTTAATATACTAAATATTTAAAGTATTAATAACAGTATAAAAAATAGGCATTCAAGTGTATTTTTGGTTTACCTCCACCTACGTACATTGTATATCTAACAATTTTGTACAAGTCATTACATACTTTAACATTTTTTGAAAACACTCTTTGTAATATACAGCCAATAAATTGCCGACGTACGTTTGATATTTTAATTCCTTGCAAATAAATATTCAACAAATAAAACACAATACGAGTAAAAAGTCAAACACAGGACTTGAAACCTATCAAATCATTCAAGGTCAAGGTTTATAAATAAAATTAAATGTTGCAACAAATCTATTTTAAAAATCAAATCACAACTAAAAAAGTATGTTTATTGTTTATCAGCTGTATAGTTATAACATCAAGATATACAGAACACAACAATCAGACAACATTAGCAGGAACGCGTGAAGTTTTTGCCCATTTTTTAATATATCCATATTAGGTTTCAATTTCATCAAAACAGTAAAGATTTACGTCTATATCAATTAATGAGCACACATGTTTCATAATTCAAGCACACATAATTATTTGTTCACTGTATACAATAAATAATATATATATATACATGTAACTAGCATCAATATCGAATCGCATACATGAGGCAGTCATTAACCAGTATGAATGCACTATGAAAAGTTTATCTGGATGCATGTACATTATTCTTAAACTTGATTCAAGAAATTAGGCAATCAGAAATTCATTATAATCGTAAAAATCAAGTACTCCTCATGGTGCTTTTATTTTGGCAAACATACAAATTATAGCTCGAAAGGAACCTTTTTTTTGCAAAAACAATTGATTGACTAAAGAAGTAATTCATATCCATGTACAAGTACATCGGCAGTCATTAACCACGGCCAAAAAGTTTATCTGGATGCTGTCCATTCTCTCCCTTGATTCAAGAAATTAGGCAATCAGAAATTTATTATAATCGTAAAAATCAAGTACTCCTCATGGTGCATTTATTTTAGCAAACATACAAATTTTAGCTCGAAAGGAACCTTTTTTTTTTTTGCAAAAAACAATTGACTAAAGAAGTTAATTAATGTACATGTACTACAGGTATTTTGTTGACAGGTTTAAAAATAACATTGGACGGTATACTTATATTTTTCTAAGCTGTTTTCCAACTATTTTTAAAACATAAGTTGAGACTTAAAACAAAATAATGTTTTAAAATAAATTACAAAAAACTATTTATCATATCCCAGGCTAAGTGGAAATGTTTCCCTTGTGAAAAAATTAGACAGGGTTGAAGAATTCTACACCAAATATTTCTTCCTTCCATATACTCCTAGTTATAAGCGCACAAGTTCTTTTTTCAAAACAGGGTAAAGAACATCGGCGAATTATGTGTGTGGAATATCCATATCTTCAAGTGTATAAAATAAAGTTCAATTCTGAATCAAATATTCGAAGTTTTAATATTTGATTTAAAGATATAAATTCTTGCATGGTAAACAAATTTTTTTCAGCAGAATATTATCTCCAAGAGAAAAATTTTTCTAGAGTAAAAAGAAATTGAGTTTTCTTGGACCTTACTTGGTGCAACTATTATGGTACGATGTATATATATTTTTGTTAATTACTCATGGCCACGAAATAAAATTCGATGCCACTCAATAAAATTTGTGATATAATAAAATTCGATGAACAAATTTCTGGACACGAATATTCCCCAGCATGCATTGTGTGTGTAAGCAAATATGAAACAGGTGCAGCTGCTGCAGCACTGTCTTTCTAACTTTGTCCAACCAAAAGTCTTTGATCTATTATAATATGTACAATATGCACTTAATTATTTTAATAATGTAGAAATCTTGGATTCTACTCAGGCATAAACTGTTTTGGTGGAAAGATCAACTATTTTTAGTATGTGTGTGATATTTCATATACGAATTATTTCAATACTTTTCAGATTATTAAAGAAAATATTTTGTTAGAATTGTTTTATGCAATATTTTTCGAACCATAGGCAATTTTATCTGCTTATTCGCCCATCTTTTTTTTCTGATTATAACATAATCTCAAGCGAGGTGGATAGACTCGCACTTTAGTAGATATAATACTGATTTATCTAGCAATAATTTAAGGGCCTCATGCCATTTGACTGATTCTTTCCTCCTCCAAGGCTTCCGGTACAAAACCTAATGGAAGTAACTCTCCTGTCTTCATCAGTTTGTAGGTATCGTCAGGCTTGGTCATATATACATCCCAGTCTGTTCCAAACTGAATAAGTACATCAGACCATTTAGCATAATACTATAAAGATTATACATCAGTGAAGTCACAATCGTGATCAAAACACACAATGCATGTGAATACTATTGTCTGAATGAAGATTATACATCATAATTTAACTTAAAGTGTTAAATTATGAAATTTAATTTTATATAAATGCATATATCGACGATAACTGTAAACATAATAATCATACGAATCATGGTCGTTCAAAAATAAAGGCTATATAGTTCTTGCCACTTAGCTTCTTTATCGTCTAGCCCTTACTATGACCCTAGGCTTAATCCCAAACTTTTAACCCTAAATTCCAATTTTCCCCAACAGCACTAACTTAACCCTTATTAATTGTGACAGCCTACCCGGGTTAGAAATCTCATTAGAGTAAAACACTTTTATAATAAAAAAAAAGTGCCAGGGACGGACGATTTAACTTAAGGAATAACTGTCTTATTTTTTGGATTCATGATGTGATCACTCGAGTGGCTTGCGTGATAATTTGCATAAACGCCGTTTCAAGCAAGTCAATCGATCGGACCCAAAAATAAGACAGTTATTCCTTATATTTACATGCTCTTGATTCCGCAAATCACGTGCTACAGTGTACACGCCCCGCTTCTGTCTCTTTTTGCCCCGCGCCCGCACGTGATTTTTGTTTTAACCGCGCTTATCAATGAACCAGTACATTCAAGTAGAAATAAGATATTTTTACTTTTTGTGCGTTTATGTCGGACAAAGACATTAGAAATGTTAGTATGTAAAAATAAAGTACATCTCGGAGACATTGCATGGAAATGTAAATAATGAAAATATTTCCCTATATACGCGTAATTCGTTATATCCGTGAAGTTTACACTATATTTTAAAGTCAAGTGGAATGAAAATTACTTCGATTTATGCCTTCATTCGTTTTAAATGTATTCACTGTAAGCATATTTTCCTGTATAAATTCGATTTCAATATCGCACTCGGTGTATTTGGATTTTCTAACGAAACCAAATATTTTAAATCATGAACAATTTATGGATACGATGTCATTGTTGACTCAACATGGCACGGTAGTCTTTTGTTTGGTATTAACTTCGATTACAATGTGTACAGTGATATTTAAATGAATTGACTTTGTTGCTTGATCAATACAATTAACTTTCACTGAAGATTACTTTATAGGAACTTATGGTACTTACCTCCACCATAAACTGTCTACATGCCCCACATGGTACAATAAAAGAGGTCTTCAGGTCACTACAGTAGAAAAGGAGGAATGATTTAATGGCCGCCCATAAGTATTATTTTTATCTTGAAAACATGGTTAGATTTTACAAAAGTTAAAAGAAATATTTCATATGCATTTTCAAGTTTTCTGCATGAGAGAATGCAATGTATACGAGTAATTTCAGATGCACTATACAGAAGATTTTGAGGATGATTTACTTGTACTTGAGAGACTTATACTATTACGGTTATCATAAAGGTTAAATGTTCATTTTGCTTTTGTAAGCATTTTAAAAATAAATCAATTAAGAGGAAAAATGTAAATGCAGTGTGCTTGTTTTCGAAAAAATATTGATGAATCTATTCGTTCAATCTGTAAAATGCAATATGAAACTTATGTTTCTCTACCATTCTAAGCCCTTTGATTGGCTCAAACTTGCTCACATAATCAAGTGCATATAGACTTGTGTTACTACATACTACATATATTGTGTAATTATAGATTCTGAAAAAGCCATATCGACTTAAATTTTCTAGAAATGGAAAATAATGAAAGTGCTGAATAGCTAATATAACTTGATGTTTCAGGGAAATATAACATATCGACCTCGCACTTTGTGCTCGGTCGTTATGCTTTTCAGTGAGGATGATATATCTAAGGATCGACCGAATAAAAGGGCTATATTATATATTATATAACACTGAACAATTGCGCGCATAAATTCTGCGCTGTCGATGTTTTCTGAAACCAATTGTTGACTAGTGCTACATTAGATGGCGTAGTTTCATCATTAAGAGGGAAATGGTGTTTTTTAACAATTGTTTCTCGACAAATCAAATTTAACTAATTTTATATGTGAAATAATTATATTATTATTTATATGTATTGTATCACTTCACTGTTCCGGGGGAGGGGGTTGCTCAAGATAAATCTGCAAATAATAAAATACTTGATTTCTCCATAAAGTGTTGGTTCATCAAAGGCGTGGTTAAAAAAATCTTGTATGTAGTGGAGTGAAAGACACGTAGAGAGAAAGGACTGGGGTTGAATCGAGCACCTGAATTTAAGGAATCTTGTAATTATAGAAAATAACCGTCAGATATCGGGGTTTTTTTGTTTTGTTTTTTTGTTTGATGATGATAATCAAACAATTGGCTTGATCCCGTCATAAAGCCGGCCCAAAGACGGATATTTCAGAAATAACTGGCTAATTTGGGGGGGGGGGGGGTAATGTAATCAAGAAATTGGCTTGCGTGATAATTTGCAAAAAATGTGCTTCATTGTTACAAGTATTTGGACAATGAAATAAAAAAAAAAAAGAAAAATTCCTTGAAAAAAAAGCTATTGGTTTATCGATAACGGCGTGGTTAAAAATCACACGCTAGGTGGGACTGGATGAGAGAAGAAAGAAGTGGGCGGGGCTTGGATCGAGCACCTGAATATTTACGAAAACGTGCAAGAGATAACAGTTTTTGGTTTTATGAATAGTTTAAGACTTCGGCATTTATTTCAATTTTCACATAAGTCATGAAATCGCTTGATCACATCATTAAGGAAAATTCTTGAATCACATAGCTTCAGTGAAGTAACCTTTAGCTGAGGATCTGGAAAATTTCACGCGACCTAAAGTTTTTCCTTTTTTCGTAGGATTGGGATTGATAGCATCCGCTTGCGTTTCTTTATAAGACGCCCTTGAACAATGACATACAGGAAATACATGTGTACTTATCTCTGAATCAATAGGATCTGTGTGTGTGTTCTATGTATAATAGTATACGCTGTAACTGACACGTCACCTTGAGATGGCGATGGCTTTGAATCGTCTGTGGCCCTCTGATACCGCCTTTGTTAGGGCCGTTCTTTCTGCACATATCGTTAATCCATAGGAGGCATTCTCCACATTACAACCTAAAAACGCACATTATTAGTCAGTAGATCCTATATATATAGGTTAATTCGCCAAATACTGTTCCATCTATATATGAATTTTTCATACTGTGCATGCATCTTCTGATTTATTTATCTATACATTTTTTTGAGACTGTAAACACAAGTATTTATAAGACGCATTTTATGAAGAAGACAAAAAAAAAGAAGTTCGCATCTTGCATAATTTTAGTGTGTATAACCTGCATACCCGTAATAACAGTGCCGTCGTCACAAAGCAGCGCCGCTCCAACCCTGAATTTGCTGTAGGGACTGTAAGATTTCTTCTTCATGTCATGGCTTGCCTTAAACAACTTTTTGATGCTCTCTGAATCTGTACAAATAGTGACAAATTATGCAAAATTTACTCAATAGGAGTAAAAGAAATATATTATTAGTATGTAAACAATTATGCTTTCTTTATTATACATGTATTTCTAGATTATAAGAATGCTTAAATCTGCCAAATAATAAAAACCACAAGTGGAAGCTAGAATACACATATTCATTAAAATTATTTAGGAATAAAATTTATATTAAAGTTCATAAAAACATTCCATTTGACACTACTTAACTTTAACCTTCAATTGTGTTTTTAAAATAAAAGTCACACTGGCATGTTTGGAATGTACGTACTAAAATAACTGGAATGTATATGCAGTAGAATAATATGCATATGTTTATTAAACTTTCTTATTTAAAATCCGATCTTTTCTGGATTAAAAAAAAAAGATCTGTAAAAGTAACCCTAACCGACCAGGAAATTTATTTGACAAAACTGTTCTATTGAAAAAAAAAATTTATCGTCCAGAGAGAGAGAGAGAGAGAGAGAGAGAGAGAGAGAGAGAGAGAGAGAGAGAGAGAGAGAGAGAGAGATTTACAGACATAAATGTTAAAACTGAATTTGCACGTAGGCATATTTCTATTGAAACTGATTTTTGAAATGAATCAATATATTTATAGGGACGACTTTTCAATTTATCTCATGTTTGTGACATGACCCGGCAAGTTTTCCTTTGAAGTCAAGCATACTGTAACTGCGATACAGAACACTTTTTGTGGGCGTTTCTTATGCAAATGAACAGAAACTGTACTGTATCTGCAAAATATCAACGATATACGGTTTATTTTTAGCGATGACGGAAAGCTGTATCCGTATTCACCATAGGACTGTTAATATATCATGGTCGGAGGTTAAATGCCAAAAAAATTCGTTTTCCGTGGGGGTATCGTGTCTTCGTTACTTGTTGCAACCGGTATACAAGAGAGAGAGAGAGAGAGAGAGAGAGAGAGAGAGATATGACAACCGGTGGAGGACATTTCTCTCATTTACAGACATAAATGTTTTGCATTAAACTGAATTTGCACCCTGTCAAATCTAAATAAAATTTTTGGAAAACAAATATTTCTACTGAAACTGATTTGTGAAATTAAAATGGGAAATAAATCAATATATTGATTGGTTGGGAGGTAGTACCCAAATACGCATGTAAATTAGTGAGGTCCCAAGAAAGGTCATGTCACAAGTCATTTAGAATACTCGTTTCTTTTCAATTGATATCGCTCTCGCCTCATGAATATTAATTATAAATCGCACGTTTACATCGTCTGTATACATAATAAGCCAATACATATAGCGCAATTCGTCCATATATGAAAGCATGTTTTCCACGCTAACACAACATTACAAGCAGAACATCTATCATTTCTAAAAGAAAATACTGTATTAAATAGTAGTTGTCGTTTTGTTGTTACCTCAATCAAAAAAGTAAACAATATTCAAAGAGAAATTGGACATAATCTTGCTTACCTGACATTTTCTCTGCGACTCAGTCCTCATTCATATAGGTCAACTGAACAACAACCAATCAGCTTTTAGTATTTCCACACACCTCTAAAAAACGTAAACAAAATTGTTTACATCGATCATGACATTCTAAATTGTGGGTATTTTAATTTTTATTCAAAAGGTTCGGCAACTTCCGTGTTTAAAAATAACTTTAGAATGTCTTATTACTGATTTATTTTGTGGTTATATCAATAAGATAATTAACAGCCTTGCAGATCTGTTCTATCAATATGTGTTAGGTTTGGTGTTTGGTCAGCTGCCGAGTATTAAAGTAGCCATGGTTGCCATGGGGATAAGAACATAACGTATTTATCGGTATAGAACCCAGTGTTTTAGAATCAGAGGAAATTCTTTGTACGCACTGCAGACAGCATAAAGGCTCTACATTAACTGTTTTGTACATTAACTATCATATGTACATCTGCACATTATAATAAAGGACACAGCATACCACAAGGGTTTTGATTTCATTTCAGAATAGTTTGAAAATATGCTGGTGCACGCTTAGATGAAGAGACAAGGCTTTTAAAATTCAAAAGATAATGACCCACTTTGTGAGCATTAAGATCAGACACAAAGGACGGATATTTTTTCTTCTTTCTTTTTTTTTTTTTTTTTTTTTTTTTTTTTTAATTTTTTTTTTTTGAGAACTGGGTTTTTGATATGTCGCTTATAATATTACAACTTATACAGTATGAGTTTTATACGAGATTCAGTTACATTCATTTCATTTACAAACTTTTTCGAAATATTTCTTTTAAATAAAAGACACCACCATGTAGTTAGACATACATGTATGTGCATTGCCACATTCTAGATTTAAACTGAATCTTTATCCTTATGAAGAACAATTTTTGAAGACATGTGTCCTGATTTCAAAACAGGTATACAACGAAGAATTTTACTGGGTATTAGGGGCCTGTGTGATACCTTTTATTTTTGCATGTCAAGGAACTTTTGGTAGGTTATAGTGCCCCTACTGAATTTGCTTGGCTCCCCCCCCCCCTTGAATTTGCTTCTTATGGGCCTTTACGCATACGAATTTATTTTAATCCTTTTCTTTGAAAAAAAAATGATTATAAAAAAACCTTAAAAATATACATAGAAAGAATCTTCTATTTTAGTCCACATTTATTAATAGTAGTACGTAAACGCCCACAGAACATATTGTGCGTGCTGAGTAGGACGGATCTATTTTTGAATCGTGTGTATTTTGGGGAAATCCATCGTTTTCTGCATACTATAGTATAAGGCTTTCGGATGCTGATGCCTCTTATCATTTAAGGATGGGCTTCCTTGCACTCATAAGTTAAAAAGAGTCTGTTATCGCTGTCTTTGACTAAATTACCGCATGAGTCTTCCGCATCTAGTAACTACTGTAAAACTTTAATCCCCATTGTGGCCTAACCCTGCCCCTAAGGGTCATTATTTGAACAAACTAAATCTACCTTACCTGAGAATGCGTCTATATCAATATATTTAAACTAAGCTTTACTGTTCTTGAGAAGAAGATTTTAATTTTCCCCCATTCCTTTATATTTTTATCTAAAACATAAATCTCCATTGTAGCCTACCCCCCCCCCCCCCACCACCACCACCATAGGGTCTTCATTTGAAAACTTGAATCGACCTTACCTGAGAATATGCCTCCGTACCAATATGATTAAACAAGACTTTGCTGTTCTCGAGAGGAAGATTTTTAAAGATTTTTTTCCCCCTTATATACCGGTATATCTATGTAAAACTTTGATTCCCCCATTGTGGCCCACCCTATCCCAGGATGGCACGAACTGAACAAATTTATTTTATGTAAATCTACACTACGTGTACTTAAGGATGCTTCCATATCGTTATTACTTATTAAGGCTTTGCTGTTCTTGAGAAGATTTTTTAAAAAAATGTTTCCCTTTAGTTTCCTGTGTACCTCCCCCCCCCCCTCCTTCGTAGCTCCACCTTATCCCTAGAGGTCATCCTGTGAACAAACTTATTTTTCACTATGTTTTAGAATGTTTCATATTAGTTTCAACTTTTTGGTCCAGTGGTTCTTGAGAAGAAATTTTTACAACATTGCACCAAATTATCACTATTTCAGAATTATCTCCCCTTGAAAAAGAGCGTAACTCTTCATGTGAACAAACTTGAATCACCTTTACTCAAGGATGCTTTAAGTTTGGTTGAAATTGACCCGGTGGTTCTGGAGAAGTCAAAAATGTGGAATTTTTAACAGACGGACGGAGAGCTAGCCGAACAGATAAACAGACGGACTACAGACAAAATGTGTTCAAAGATTTCACCTCAGGTGAGCTAAAAAAAAAAAAGAAGGATTCAACATTGATCGGGATCGAGATACAACTAATTAATAACGTTGTAAATAATACGTCACTTCCACCAAAAGGAAAGCATGGTACTCTCTGCTAAGAAGATGAAGAGTAAAAGGTTTTTATCTCATTATTGATACCTTTGGACGAGAGAAATACTGTTTTATTACCGTTTAAGTAATAAGCAGTCAAACTTCTGCTTTAAATGGTACAGTGGAGTCGCCAATTCCGGGTCGTCTCCAATTCCGGGTCACTCGTGTGTATTTTATGCCATATTGTTAAAATTTAAGCGTAAAAAACTTAATGAATACGCTGGTCATGAAGAACTGGTCTTTCTGTATGTAATTAATTACAAAATTTTAAATATCAATCTCAAGAGAGCATCCGACAATCGAAAGTCTGAAACGCACGCATTAATGACTTGGGTGTTTCTGCTGCGGTGACGGGCTTTTACATTTTGTAGAAAGGCTGATATAAAAGTTCTAGATTTTATGGCAAATGCATTTAGTTTTAACTCAGAAATCAATCATAATGATCGCTGCTCAAATAAAATTTTTATTCACTCAAACTGTAGTAGTTTCTCCAATTGCGGGTCACGCAATCTCGTGGCATGAACATGTAACAATTTTATGTACAAAACCAATCGACAACCATGTATTTACCTTGATTATCAAAAGTATTCTAATGGAAAATATTTTTTCTAAAATTAAAATCGAGTTAACCCTTCAAATGCATTTTTTAATAAATGAATTTACGTGTATTATTTTTAATCCTAATGCATTTTTTTAATTCTGCATACTGCAATTTGTTTTGTTTTAATTGTTTTAAAAATAATTTAAACATATTTCTGTGGTTGTTTTACATTTTTTCCAAGCTGTATGAATTGTTTTATATTTCAACATCATAAAAATCGAGTTCCGAAACGTTCCATGAATATAACACGACCGTAAAGTCACATGACTCGGAAATGGAGAAAATGATTCGTAACTGGGGAAGCTAGGCCTTGCTGAAATACCACTGTAAATATTGTTCCCGTGTAGCTACTTTGAAAACGAAAAGATGTTTGGATGACTCACTATTTGTTCTTTCAATACATATATTGCATAAAATATAAATTGAACAGATTTGTAAAATATCATCGAAACACCCTGACGTGACCCGGAATTGGCGACTTCACTGTATTTGAAGGATACCTGTATTTTTTTTTTTACATTTGATAAGTGATTAAAATTTGGTTTTCGTATTTATGTTGTAGCTTTTTGTTAACTTAGTATAATATGTTGACGGTGCGACCGTTAGAGCGAGTGCAAACTCTTCTATTGCTTTGATTTAGATCGGGCTCGTCAAACCGCACGTGACATTTAGTGCGTCTAGACTCTGACGTCACATGACGTCGTATGTAAGTTACAAATACCAAGAAAAAACTGAACACTGCTGAAAGTTAATGAAAAAAGTTAAGTTTACAATTTATCTTCCATATGTATCCATTTAATCAAGGCTAATAAACTTTTTGTTGAACATTTGCCGTCATTCTCGCGAGAACGCAACTTTGCTAAGTGATGCATTGTGGGTCAAAATTACTGCGGCAAAAAATTCTAAAGAATGAATATGCAGTAGTCCGAATTTTTTCTTCGCCCAGGCGTTGTCATTAGAGCTTGCAGTTACGAGCGTCGCTTTGCGACGCTCGCTGTGCTCGCTAATATGTTGACGGTGCTACCATTAGAGCAAGCGCAAACTCTTCTATTGTTTTAATTTAGATCGGGCTTGTCAAACCGCACGTGACATTTGGTGCGTCTAGACTCTGACGTCACATGACGTCGTATGTAAGTTACAAATACCAAGAAAAAACTGAACAGTGCTGAAAGTTAAATGAAAAAAGTTACGTTTACAATTTATCTTCAATATGTATCCATTTAATCAAGGCGAGTAAACTTTTTGTTGAACATTTGCCGTCATTCTCGCGAGAACGCAACTTTGCTAAGTGATGCATTGTGGGTCAAAATTACTGACTCTAACCCCTGCCTTTTATATTGTGAATTGAATGATAGCACACATTATTATGATTAGACAATAACTGCATATGCCTGGTATTTATCCAGTGATACACTTGTCAGAAAATTACGCACCTAGAGGCCATTCCTCTGAGATTCCTCTGAAAATATTGTGTCATACAGGGAATTATTGAAAAATGGAAATTCAATGACACCAGCTGGTGTCGCAACTCTGCCTACTTTTGCAACTTTATTCTGTTGATCTAACTTCCCAGAGGCGAGAAATCAGTAAAGGGAGGATTCTTCTACAACTTTGGAACATATTAAAGACCTGATATTTTGACCTGATGAAAAAAATATCACATAAAGTTCTCAATTTAAACATTCTGTATCAATTTTTTGGGAGACAATTATTGATGATACTATACTAAAAACACTTTTAGTAAATAACACTGAGAATTTTTTCTTTGTATCAAGGTGTTCTTACAAAAACTTGTTGACCTGATATTTCTAGTAAAGACCTGATATTTTTATAAATGACTTTCAATGGGAGGTTATTGTCCCAGATATATGAAATGTAATGTTTAAATTGATAATTTGTAAGAAATATTTTTTCATCAGGTCAAATATCAGGTCTTTAGTATATCAGGTCTTTATTATGTTCCTACAACTTTGTCATCATTAAAAGGATGTTATCGTTATTTAAATGGCCCTGTAGCTGACAAATGAAGCATCAATTAAATTTGGTAGCCTTCTCTTCTTCTTCATTTTCATTGCTTACCTATTACTTATCATTTCATTCTCCAGAAAACTAGCTGATATGGATGTTGATGATGGGGAACCAATTGACATCACAGCTTTAAAAAGGAATGCATCAAAGACTTCGAAAAAGTAAAGTTTGTTTGGAATTTATGTACAATGTACTCTGTTATAAATTTCTTACCTTGATTTTTTTTAATTAATTAATTAATGAACAATTTAGATTTAGGTTAAGCTACAAATTTATACTTATTGCATACATATTAATGTTACACAGAAAAGACAAAAAGAAGGAGGCACCTGCTAAGTCAGCATCAATGGAAGACAAACTGAAGAACCAAGACCCTGAATTCTATGAATTTCTAAAGAATGAAGATCAGAGTTTACTAAACTTTGATGACAGTGATGATGATTTGGACGAGGATGATTTCAGTCCTAGCGATGAATCATCAGATGATGAAAAACAAACATCTAAACCTGTGTCTGTGAAGGGTATGAAAGGAAAAGTAGTGGTAGGGAAGAAGAAGGGCACACAGGAAGAAGACCTGGATGATATCCTGTCTACAAGTGAAGAGGAGGAAGAGGATGAAGAAGGATCTGATGCTGAGACAGGGGGAAAATTCCATAAACTGCCATCCAAACTAGAGGTAATGCCACTATATCCAAGATCTACTCATTATAGTATGGAGTGTAGAATTGAGGAACATTATTTTTAGGGTAGTTGATCAATGGAATGCAGGGTAATTAAGAAAGATTTTAAAAGAGTTATGTGAAAACAAAAGTTGGCAGATGACCGATAGGCAAACATTAGTTCACCATTATACTGTATTTGTCAGTTTGACAGTAATGTCAGTTTATCAACATTATATTTGTCAGTTTGACAGTGATGTTAGTTTATCAACATAACATGATATTAGTTTATCAACATAACATAATTCAGGTTGACAGTGATGTTAACATAATTCAGGTTGACAGTGATGTTAGTTTATCAACATTACATTTGTCAGGTTGACAGTAATGTCAGTTTATCAACATAACATTATTCAGGTTGACAGTGATGAAGATGATGAGAATGAAAAAGAAGAGGAAGAAATTCCAGAGTCAAAGAAGGGGAAGATGAGAGGCATACTTGTGACCAGTAAGATGATCTCACACTGGAGTAAAGCACTAGAGGTCAGTCTTTTCTCATGACCAGTCGAGTTTGTATTCTTCCATGGTTGAAATCTGTTAATCTGTATTTAAACTATGATTTTAACATTTTTTAACATTTGTATTTGTTTGTTTTATTTATATAGGATAAACCATCATCTAGTCTGATAAAGGATGTTGTCTGTGCATTCAAAGCTGCTGTTAAGCGGGCTGGCCATGAAACAGAAGTTAATAAGTACAGGGTAGAAGGCAGCACAGGTAGGCCCTGTTTGAGAAAGTTTTAAAAAATTAAAATAAATGTCAATTTGTAAAAAGAAAAAAAAAAATCTATAAAGGTTAAAAGTAAACTTGAGCAACAGAATAATTAGAAATGGATGTAAATTTTCTTCAAATTAAACTTTATTCATTTATTTATACATAATTTGTCATGGTACAAAAAGTTAACTGTTCTTCTATTCCAGCATTCAATGGCATTGTGAGACTATGTCTGGCTCACATGTCACCTGCACTCCATAAAGTTAGTGGTGTTCCTCAGACCACAGACCTTCAGAAACCAGTTATACCCAATCCACAAAGCAAGAAATGGAAGGCTGTAAAACTAGATGTCAAGACTTACTTATCTCACCTGTTACATGTTAGTAAAACTAAATATCAAGACTTACATGTGTGACATTTTACATGAAAGTTAAACGGGCACATCAATACCTAGTTTCTCACCTGTTATGAATAAGTTAAACTGATATCATTAAGGCCTACCTTTTTCACCTGTTTCATTTACCTCAGTAGAATAAATTTAATATCAAGACTAGGTTGAGAATTCAGTTAATTAATATAAAGAATCTTAATGTTTGCCTGTATTTGATATAAGTGATATTTTGACAGTTGCTGGGTGAGATGTCAGAATCGGCCATGTTAAATGTCATCCTGAAGCACGTACACAGACTGGTGGCTTTCTACTCAGTCTTCCCAAAGCTCACAAAACTCATGATGAAGGTACAGTACAAATAAAAGGGTGTTATATTTTTGATAACTACTGTGCTTTAATTAGCTAGCCTGAGTTGAAAGCTCAAGAGAGCTTTTCTGAACACATGCTCTTCATTGTCAGTCTATCCATCTGTCTGTCTGACAATCTGTCTGTGAACTTTTCACATTTTCATCTTCTTCTCTAGAACTGCTGGGTCAATTTAAACTTAAGTTAATTGATACAAAGCATTCTTGGGAGAAGGGGAGTTTACGTTGTTAAAATGAAGGGCCAAGTCTCCTTACATGGCAGATAATCAAGAAAAAAAAATAGGATAGGGTCATTCAAAAATCTTCTTCTCAATAGCCACTGGGCCAGAAAAGCTGAAACATATGTGGAAGCATCCTGGGGTGGTGTAGATTCTAAATTGTTTAAATCTTGACTCTCAAGGGGAATCAAAATTTTTCATTGAAACATATAGGAGTTTTGATTTAAATTCTTCTCAAGAACCACTGGGTCAGAAAAGCTGAAACTTTTATGGAAGCATCCTGGGGTAGAATAGATTCTAAATTCAAATCATGACACCCTGGGGTAGGCTTTGGACCACAATGTGTACTACAAAGGGGAAAATCTGGTGAAGAAGAGCAGGGCCAATGTTACTCATGCAAGCATTGTGGTGCATGGGCCTCGTTATTTTTGATACACCGTGACTTACAAAATTAAAACATTAAAAGTTTTACTTGAAGACATGAGATTTTAAGTGGAGAGAATTACCTTTTTAGTATGAATTAAGATAAAGGTGTTTTTCAGAAAATGATCTCTCTGTGGAGTAAAGGGGAGGAAACTACGCGAGTGTTAGCTTTCTTATGTCTGAACAAACTGGTACTGATCTCCCAAAAAACACTACTGGAACCTTGTATGAAGGTAAGCATGTTAAATGGGTGCTTTTATTCATTAAATCTAAGAAATACCAATTTGCAGGAGCTACTGTTAAGTATTAATTCTTAAAATTTCCAGTATTTTAATATTGAAAAAAATGAAAGCTGATGAAAAAACCTTGAAAGGGCAAGATTATTCAAATATTTTGAATAAATTCTAGCATAGGAAGGTAAATCAATATACTATATGTATAGTTTTTTTCCAGCAAATGTACATGTCCTATGTGAAGAACACAAAGTTCACGTCTCCGACCACCATTCCTCTGATCAACTTCATGCAGATGTCCATGGTGGAGATCTTCGCTGTGGATCCGGTACAGGCCTATCAGCATGCCTTCGTCTACATCAGACAGCAAGCCATCCACCTGAGGAACGCCATCACAGTCAAAAAGAAGGTCAGATAAAAACAGAGAATATAAAAATAAGAATGAATCATGTGTAATTCTTATTTTTGAAATTATCTCTTTTGAAAATGTAAAACTGATAAATGTAATGGTATTGTCATTAGAACACCACTTTAAATTTTGCAGTTTATGCTGTTTATCTGTGAACAATTTATTTTTTTTTTCAGGAGAATTGCCAAGCAGTGTATAACTGGCAGTTTGTTCGGTGTCTGGAGTTCTGGGTTCGATTACTTTGTAGCAGTCATCCCAGTGAGGCACTGAGACCCCTGATTTATCCCCTCACACAAACCATTATAGGAACCATCAAGTAAGAAATCTACTCACTGTCATAAATAACATGTTGACATGTGATTCACATGACGTCATATGCATATTGCTTTACCAAACCGACGCAATAGGGCTGATTTTAATGATGAACTGTTTTATTGACTATTTTTCTGCATTGAATTCATTAAATCAATTCAAGTTTATTAGTCGTTTAACTTTTGTTGTTATTCTCGCAAGAATGTTGCTTTAGCGCACGTGACATTAGGTGCATTGAAGACTCCAATGTCACATGATGTCGTATGCATATTGCTTTACCAAACCGACCGAAGCCTGAACAGGGCTGATTTTAATGATGAACTGTTTTATTGACTATTTTTCTGCATTGAATTCATTAAATCAATTCAAGTTTATTAGTCATTTAACTTTTGTTGTTATTTTTGCATGAATGTTGCTTTACCTTTTTTTGTAAGAAGTGATGCATTGTGGGTCCAAATTACTGTGTAAAAAAATTCTGTCAAATGAATGTGCATTAGTCCAAATTTTCTCTTCGCCCAGGCTTTGTTGTTTGAGCTCGCAGTAACGAGAGTCGCTTCACGACACTCGCTGTGTTCGCTATCAAGAAGTTTTTTATAGAATATTTGAACAGTGTCAAGCTTTAGATTGCGTAACTGGCAAATTGCATTGATGATAAAACAGAATTTTTTCAATACCCCCCTACAGGAGCATAGAATTGCATTTTTCTAGGTACACTATTTGTTTGGTGTTGGAATATAGTGTAGTTGAATGACTCATATCAAGTGAATCCTCAAGACAGTACAGTTTTGTTTAATGATACCCGGGTAGTTCAAATTATAAGAGAGTGATCCTAACTTGATCACCTCAAATTTTATTCCAGGCAGTGATACCAAGATGTGTTTTTTAAAAATCATATGCCCTAATATCTCAACATTTTGAAGTCTTAAAAATATACATGTAATGCTTAACTTCTCTATTTAAAAGTCCTATAAGTTGGAGTTGAGAATAAACTTGACTAAAGAGAACTTCCCTAACAGGACTGTTACTTCTCTATTTTAGGCACATTCTTAGTTGTATGGATAAAAATGACCGAAAAAGCTATATCATATATGTAATTATTACACTGCCAATTTCTGCTGCAGGATCCTGATACTGTAAACAGGGTTATTTTTGCCCTTTCAATCTTGCAAACAATTTTGCCCTGTTTTAAATTTGCCATGTCACACTTTTGTTTAAGAAATTATACTGTATTCTTTGAATTTGTTCCGTTTTAAATTAGCCCAAATGAGGTAAGAGCGAAAGGGGTGAAAAGAAAACGGGGGTGGAAATTTCCCTATATAGAGTACATACCTCAGGATCCTTGGCTTTATTGTTCTCAGACAAGATACATGCTACTTTAATGAGCTCTCATTGTGTTAAATACATGATTAGGTTTCTCAATTACAAAATCATGTACAACATTTCCAGTCTTTGACCTTTAATTAAATGATCTGGGGTCTTCTTACTTTTAAGGTATTCAATTAAGCATTGAATTCATATTTCAGGATGTCTTCGGTCCTAAAGTAAACTTCAGTTTTATATTGATTTGATCTGGTGATATACTAGTATCTGATATTTTGGTTTTTATAAAATAAGTTTTTTAGTAAGGTCTCACATGGTCTTCTCTATGATTTTTTTTGTCAGATTGATACCCACAGCTCGGTACTATCCTCTGAGATTTCATCTGATTCGAGCCCTGAACCGACTCTCTCAGGCTACCGACACATTTATACCAGTTCTACCCCTGGTTCTAGAGGTGAGTCAATCTACCACAAAATTTGGACCAAAATAATAGTCATATTTACCAGTAACTGTTTAAAACTCCTTTTACCTTTTACTCTGCTTTATGGTTTGGTATTCAGAAAGTTAGAACCTCTAGTCTAACAAAAAAGACATTGAATGCACATGTTTGATCATTGTGTAGTGATCTTGTTCGAGCAGAGTAGATCAAAGATCTAATTTTAATTTAATTAGATTGGATGTTGTTTCTGATTTGTTTACTCTATAACTGGTATGTTTTACAATATGACAGTCATATAAATGGATTATGTAGGTGTGCAGGTATACATTCTTGGAGTATGAAAGGCGTTCACATTGCCGGTTTTAACCGGTAATTACTCCTTTTTTTCTTTCACTACACACCTTCACATTGATCTTTAGTTTGATTTTTGAGACTAAGCTGTTGGCAATGTAAGAGTTATCTTTCTTACGTTACTCAGCTGAAGACTAGTGCATCGATGATGAGCATCATGCATAAAAAATTAAAAGTATTCTATAGTGGATTGTTCTTCACAAGCAAGGTGTTCTTAAATAGAAAAAAAAATTAATTTTGAAAGAAAAAAAATGTTTTAAGGCCTTGAAGAGTTGTTTAACCTTAAATCAGATGGATTTATTAAATTAACCTTAGTCAAATTTTTAGGGGGGCAAAAGTTACCCTTATCAATTTAAGAAAAATTACGTCACATGCTTTATGTAAACAAATGATGAAACTTGGCCCAAGAGCACATGGCCATCACAAATTACTTACGACGTATCTAGATTTCATCTCTTTACATAATCATTACATCACCTGAGAAATCAGGGGGTATGAATGCATTGAGTACACAGAATCAAGTCTAAAAATAAAAGGCCGATCGAAATTTTCCCCTCCTGGTCATGTGATATATATTCACTTTTGCCGAGTCTTGTGACAAAAAAGGTTCACGGGTATTACAGATCACGGTGACATAGGATGTTACCTAATGACATACTTAATTTTTTAAAAAGTACAAAGATTAGAGAGTATGTAAATGCTGAATCTTTATCTCTTTTTTTATTAACCGAATTAATATCCAAGTTCAAGGTGTCCTCAGTTTCTTTTTGCCTTCTGCGTTGTTGCTTACATATACATGTATCAAATGATTCTTTGTTTAAGATAGTCCGATCCTCAGATCTTAAAAATCAGTTGTTGGGTAACTGAAGTACTCACAAAAATGTCTTTGAATTCTCAGAATAATGTGTATTTTTTCAAAGTTCTTCATTAAAGATAATCCTATTATAATGGGAAAATATTAAACTTAACATATTATTTGGAAATGCGAATCAAAGTACCCACTAGGCATTTTCTAAATAAAAATTTATCAATCAATACATTTTACAATATAAAATCATTGGTATCCAGGTGTTTGAAGAAAATTTCATGTTTTTAAAACTCATTCAGTATTTAGTTCTTCTATTGAGTTCACTTGTTATAAAATAAATAGAGTAGGATGTTTGCAGTATCATTGAAAGACATCACAAATCACTTTCATTTTCATACAATGCTAATATTAACCAATATTGGTATCTAAGGATAGATTAAAGGAAATTTGATTTCTGTAAAAATACATTTATTTTTCTACTTCAAGGGGGTTCAAATGTCTTATTTTTACAAGACCGTATCTTGGTTGTCAAAATTTTGAGAATCATCCTGAGATGCATAAGATAAAATTTCTTGCATTAAAAAAAGTCAATTTTATGCAATAGTTGGACCTTTTTAAATTAGATATTAATTGTAAGAGTTATCTTTCCTGGCTGAGGAGCAGACATCCTCAAAGTAAACTTTACATAATTTTTTTTTTGTGAAAATGAAAATGTCAGTCTAATCACAAAATATCTAGGCCTATAGCTGAGTTTTTCCATTTTGAAATCATGTATTGCTTTCGCAGAGATGTTTTGCAGATTCAGTAAATAAATTTTTAGTTTGACATATATTCCTTCAAATTCTTTATGTAGAGTTTACAAAGACAATAGAAACAAAGTTAGCCAAGACAGATGTACTTATATTTGTTAAGATGCTGCACGTTTGTGGGTGCATGTGTGTCCCAAATTATGTTACTATTTCTGTAATGCTATGTATAGTTTTGTCGTGGGAGTTAATGCATATGTTACCTATTACATACAAAGGGTATTCCATGGTCAAGCTAAACCATCCACATAATGCATGTCCCTGAACATCCCTGTGGCTTGACCGATTTCCCCGTGATGCAGAATTGTTATTCATAGAGATGTTACATCAGAAGGACATATTCTTCTGCATCCTTGGAATGATTATATGTAGGAGGGAGTTGGCATGACAAATTTTCCTTAAAAAGATATCCTTGTACGATTTTTGCATTGATTAAAAAAAGTACTTCCAACATAGTTTACCCTGAGGCATGGATTGTGAGAGGAAATCATGCTACCATATTTATATTTCAAGGTTCACAATGCAGGGTTCTTATTATAAGAATGAGCTTAATCTGGGGATGAACTTTAGTTTATCAGCTAAAGTGCAAACTGATTCATACTTTCAGCCAAGTTAAATTTTCTCTGGGAGGAAATCTTCATGAGAATTAAACATTTTTTTTGTGGAGAAAGAATGTTTATGGCGCATGAAATAAGAGTACTTGAACCAGCTAGATTGCACAAAAAAATATTTTATGTTGAATAAATTGGAAAGAAAAGAAAATATTTATCCTGGATGAATTGAATGAAACCCTAAATTTTGAAGCTCATAAATGACAGAGTGTTGTGCACATCTTTTCACCGAGATTGAATCCTTTAATCAAAAAAATGTACAATGCAATCAGTTCAAAAATTAGGACTTTTATAGAGATTTAAATTAATTTAATTTGGTAATTAATTAGACAAAGCAAAGAAAAAGTTTTCAGCTGCTGATCCAACAAAGATGTTGTTGATTATTAATTTTGTGTTGTCCAATTAATGTGTGTATTGCTGGTAATTAATTAGACAAAGCAAGGAAAAGTTTTACAAAACTGTGTGTATACCATGTATATGTGGCAGCGACAGAAAAAATCAAACCGAGCTAAGCTGTAATTTTCTCTGACATTTCTGCTATTTAAGGTGGAATGTCACACCAATTTTTTATTTTATAGATCTTTGAGTCATCCTTTTTAAACAATGGTTTCAGCATTGAAAGGCCGATATTAGCTCTTAATTATTTTATCTGAATTTTTTTGTATTTTTTCAAAGAAAATGAAAAAAATTTTGTGTTGTCTTGTAAAATTTTTGCTGTAAATAAATGCATCACATAAATACCTGTGTGTAATTTTTTTTATAAAAAATTATTTATGAAAATAAAACACACTATTTTTGAATATTTTTTAAACCTGTGGTTAAAAACACCATAAAACTAGTCACAACTAAGGACAACATGTTTGTAAATCATATTTTTAAAGGAAATTGAAACGGTTTTAGTTATTTTTTTTTAATATTTGGACCTAACCCGATCAAAATTAAACTGCATGCACAAAATGAATAAAATGCTAATGTATTGCCTCTTCATGTATTAACAATGAAGAAATCTAATTGTCAGATAATGTTTTAACCCTTATAACAAAACTGTGTGTGTTATTTATTTCCATAATTGTATAATTTTGATGTGGGCTATTTCGTTTCAATTTCTTTTATAAATATGATTAATGAACATGTTCTCCCCAGCTGTGGCTGGTTTTAAGAAGATTTTAACCACAAGTTTAAAAAATATTCACAAATTATCTGTTTTATTTTCATAAATAATTTTTTATAAAAAAAATTAAAAAGTCTAACCAGACTTTCTTTACATATTTTATTAGAGCTAGAAATATTTTTTGCTGTAATGTAATTTTCGTTTTCTTTGAAAAAATACAAAAAAATTCATATAAAATAATTAAGAGCTTTCTCTGACATTTCTGCTTATTAACTGATTAATTAAGTTTTGCTCAATTAATTATTCTTGAGGAGGAAGAAAGAAAAGTGAATATTTATTGGACAAAATCGAGACTTTCTGCTTTTCTATCAGACATCTTTTTTTTTACCCACAGACTGGCAATTTGTTTTAATAACCAATGAATTGAAATGTTTGACAACAGTTCATTGTTTCTGCCTGTCTTCTTATTTATTGTTTTTAATTTTCCGTTAAATAAAATCATGAATAAAAAAGGTGTGTTTAAAATCTAGCTGTGTCAAATCTAGTTTCTTATCACAAATTTTTGTGGTCTTGCAGATTATAGATACAAAACACCATTGAAAATTCACCCCACCTTATGGCTATTACAGAAGTAAACATAAATAAATGTATGACTTAATAGGCCTTAAGGTTAAGGCAGACATTTGCTAGGGGCATTAGTTTTTTTAATACTTATTATATATATATGATATCTAGTTCTATGTCATTCTAATATAGCAGGAATAAATATTGTCCACCAGGATATAAGAGTCCAAAAAATATCCAGATTAACATAGTACAAGTCAATTTATTAATTAAAATATGGCAAAAATAATATGTTAATTAAATTAAAGCACTGCTTTCAACAGAGACAGATTTTCAAAGTTACATAAGAAAATAAAAATGTGTTAAAGTATTGGATCATATGACTGCATGAGAAGATTTAATACCACAGAAAATATTTATAAACTATCGAGATGAATTCTTCTCAGGTAGAAGTCTGTTCTTTGGTACACTTTCTAGTATTTTGATTTTTAAAACAATGTTATCAGACAATATTTATATTGTGTTATTTATAACCAACTCAGATATATGTGATATTAAAATGTTGACCTGCTTCAAAAGTTCACTGCAGTTTTCTTTAAAAGTATTAGTGAATGATTATCCATTTGTCTGTCTGTCTGTTTATTCCAGAATTTAATGTTCTAATTTTTTTTGTAAAACAACCCAGACATTGTATATAGGCGATAGTGACTCAGTTACGTAAGTGTGTTGCAGGAGTTAATTTCAAGTCAAGATCATATGTACAA